CTCAAGAATCAAAGTTTCTGAATGAACCATTGGGACACTCGAGTTGCCCACTCTTCCATTGAATGTTCACTCCTTTCCGTTCGAATAGTCGTCCTTTCTCAAGTCTGTATTCTATTCTCCTGTTTTCAGGATGAGACAGCTCTACTCTCTTATTATTTCGTATCGAGAAATTGCGAATAGCAATTTCCTGCCTTTTTCTTGAGTAGTTTCCCGCAATTGTTAATTCGGACGTTCTCGTTTTTATTTTGCGTTTTCAGTTGGTTCGAGAAAACTGAGCATGACAGGCTCCATTCGAAATTTTTAAAATTAAAACTTCACTCCAAATTTACGTGTTTCTCAAGGTCAAACCTCCAGACATGACCGACTGGCACAGGTTGGCGAGAGGCTTTGGAAAATAAGATAAATATGAAAGATAGTGAGGATTGCGTGGAGGATTGCGTGGAAAATTTCTACTAAGGAGGGTTGCTAAGGGGCTTAGCTGACTCCGGAGGGTTGCTTCGGAAGGTTCCCCAAAAATCGAGAAAACGGATGATTTTACCGCTGTAAAGCCTCCAATTGTACTCTAATTGACCTAAAACTAGGTTAGCTGAATTGTTGGGTTACAATGGAAATTTTTAGTTGATGATTATTTATTTATATACGCCTAAGGTGAGTATATTTACCTATTTAAACCTGACTGAGATTTTTAGCCTGTTTAGGACACATATTCATTTTGTGGCGACCTGGTAGGTTTTGGGTACACTCGCTCGAAGAGGGTGAGTACCTCATTACGTATCCTAGCCACAGAGTTTCTTAATTTTAATATTGAGGGCAGCTGCATAAATGAATGATTATACTTTGTGAGTGACACTCAGGACATTACTCATAGTGCAAACTTTGTTAAAATGTTAGAAGGCAGTGAAATGTAGTACGGAGCCATTTATGACACGCAGTGAGTTGAGGTGACGTAGATAAATTTCATTTTCTAAGGCGATTTGTAAGTTGATCATAGAAAACTGGATCACCACATGAAGATCACGCTGAGTTATGCGTTCATTAGTGATATTGAAGGGGACACTCCGGGAGTGTGTGCCGTTCCAAGGAATTGGCACAGTCGAACCCTCCGACGAGAACAAAACGGACGTTAATGACGATAAGGACGAATTCGTGATGAAAAGGAGGTTCGAAATGATCTGGAATTTTTAAATTTTTAAATTTTGATTGTCAACAGATTATTTCCTGGAAACGTAGAAAACGGCCATTTTGACCAGAAAAAAACTAGAAAAAACCAACGAACGAGAACATCGAACGAACAAGTCGAGAAAAACCAGAGAAAAAACGGAGTCTTTTATCCTGACGATCAGGCATGATAAGATACTTAACTGAGGCAGATAGGAAGAAACGAGGCTTCAGTGGGACAGCCGGAGCGGATCCGTACCCTCCCGTGCCACGAGATTGATGAGATAAGAGCGTTATCTCAGGAGGAGAACGGAATTGGAGGACCGGTGCCCAGAGACTGAGTAGACTGTAATACACACTTTTTAGCTGCTGTGATGATCTGAAAAGTTGAACTAACTCCGATTTTATATAGTATTTCAGAGCATGAGTAGCTAGAAAGAGGGAAGGTCAATCCATCCCCAATGGATTTAGTTTATAACTATCACTAAAAACATTGTTAAAAATGGATTTCGTGCCGTATTTTCAATAGTAATCACGTATTCTGGGATCCGAGACCCAGCTATGTGGTTATTTTCGCATGTAAACGAAAGCTGATGAAAAGTCATTTGACTGATTGCCTAAAAATGGTAAGTTTTTACTTAAGCGACTGACTGTTTTTAATTTTTCTTAATTGGCGCGAAATTGTAATAGTTCATGGCTTTCCCGCCAAAATTCAACTAAACATGGCATTTCGTATTTTCAAAAATTTTTCCACTAATTTCTTTTCGTGAAAATGTCAATTAGGCACTCCCGATGGTGCAAAAGCGTCCGAAAGGGTTCTAGTTTTTCATGAACGGAACCTTCTATGTTTAGCAACATGGAAGACAGCCTTCCTTATCTATATTCTTTTTTCTGTCAACTAAATGTTTTTTATAGTGATTTTGTAAGTTGTGTTAAAGTGCCGATAAGCTAGTTTTCTGCAGTTGCTGATGATGACTTTAAAGAAATGAAAGCAGTTTTCATTTCAACATTTGATTATTGACCTTGTTTTTCATAGTCCTATAATTTTTTCTCTTCCATTTATTCACTAAAGTTTGAATGGAACTCGTATTTCTCATGTATCTTTTTTCTTTTAGAAATTTCGATTGTTGGAGTTTAATGTTAACTCATACGAATCAGTAAGAGTGAAACACCTTCGCATATGTTTTTTGTTCCATTAATGATTGTAATTGATAAACCGTTTGTAGATCTCGCGAAGTAGAAGAATGCAATCTTTAGCTTCCAGAAAAAGTTTTTTCAGGCGGATGAAGTATGACGAGAAATGACAATAGTTCGCCAAGCTCGAAACTGCCTATTTTGCTAGATGATTTGATTATAGCATCATCTTCTCGAAAATCTGCAACCGGAAAACTTTTATCGGCAGAATGCTTCTTCATAATAGAATGCAGGTAAATAGGGTTGTTGAAGAATTTTGACCGAATACTTTTTTCAACCGAAAAATAATAAATGAGATAAAAAATCAATCGCAAAATACAATTGGTCAATAAATTTAAATTTTTTTAGGATGTGTTTCAATTTGTTCCGAACGGTTGGCGCATTCGTAAACCACAAAGAAAGCAAATGTCTGAAATCTGCATCTGACAAGTCTGGAGGTGAGTGTTTCCAATATATTTGCTCTCCAGCTAGGTAAGCAAATAAGCATGCACTTAGCAATGAAAGCAAAATGGAATCAAGACCATTTTAAATACAGAATACAAATTAATCTAATCGGCCTGCTAGTTTTTTTTCGACAAATTCTCATAGGTTTTCTGAATGTATGAATCTTTGGGATCATTGGAAATATCATTAAGTTTTAATAAATGACATCTAAAGAGGTTATCATGGGATTTTGCGCGCGAAATTAAAAACTGTTTCCAAAAAAATGAAATTTTTTTTGGCGTTTGGTGTAGTTGGACAATAGGGGAAAAAGAATCACGTGAAGAAGCCTTCTTATGATTCTTTTTCGTCTATTGTATTTGGATGTGTTTCACTTTTTTAAAGTTTTTTTTCTTCTTTTTGTATCTGGCTCCACGCATAATCATCGGAATGGGTCGACTGATTTATCATATTAAAGCCCTTTTAATTGTGATTCAAACAACAATAAAAATTTTTGAAAGACAATTTTTCAGTGTCGAGAAAAACCGGTCGGAAACTTTTGATTTTTGGTCTAATTTCGAGCTAGTAAGGATTAATAAAATCAGGTTAGCAGGCTTTCAAAAGCTTTTTTAAGCTTAAATTAAGCCGTGAAAACTCAATTTTACTCAAGTAATATCAGTTTTTGAAATTTCTTAGCTCCATTTTGTTAATATCCTTTTTTACATGTATCTTCTGTATTAAGTTTCATCTTTTTTAGTTTGTATGTTCTCAGCACTGTGATATATTCGTCGGTGGGCTTAATACAGTTTTACCAGATATCGTTTTTATCACATTTTGGGAGTCAAAACCTTCAAATACTCCAAAAATTCTGCAAAAAAAATAAGAAAAACTTTTAAATTTAGTTTTTCGTTTTCCTAGTCCTTTTTCTACAGAAACTGTTTTCTATTTGATTGGTCTATGTGATTGTCGAATATACTTAGTTTCTCTTAGTAACTCTTTTTATCACAATACACAGAAAAATTGACTTTCTTTTGAAGAAAAGACTGGTGGGAACATTCTCTGCTATTTGCACAGAAACCGGTTATCCTTGTTTCTATTTTTTTTGTTCAACTCTTTTTATCTTAACACACAGAAAATTTGACTTTCTTTTGAAGAAAAGACTAGTGGGAACATTCTCTGCTATTTGCACAGTAACCGGTTATCCTTGTTTTGCTTGAATTAAGTATTCAGCGGTTATTTCAAAAAGTTTGAAATAAGTAACCAGAGAGAGGAATGCTATCAGGGTTCTCCAGTGGTTGCGAGTTTGGCCTCCAAATATGAATACCCAAATCTTTTTAGTTCACGAGTTACAACGATTTTAGTGATTTTTTATTCAAAAATTTTCAGGAAACTTAGATTTCTTAGTTTTGACAAAATTCGGTATTCCTAACCCTGTAGTTGGTTGCTGTCAGGTTACTCTCAGAGGTTGCAAGTCTTGCCTCCAAATGTAACTGCTTTAAGTTTCCGACTTTTGTTAAGGTTTTTCAAAGTGTTTAAAAAACCGATATTTAAAAAAATTCAAAAATGTGGATGTTCACATCCCCATTAGCTGGGCGCTTCTTTTATTTTCAAGATATGGCATTTTTTCAATGTTTAAAAAAACATAATTAACTTTGAAATTCCCAACTCCATAATGAGTTGCTCTCAGGTTATTCTCAGTAGTTGCAAATCTTACCTACAATTTTGACTGTTTAGACCCTTTTAGTTTTCGAGATATGACGTGTTTATGGTTTTTCTAAACTTGACTTAAAACAAACTTGAATTTGAAAAAACTCTACAAAATTTGAAATTACCAACCCTGTAATTGGGTGCTGCCAGGTTACTCTCAGAGGTTGACATAAAATAGTAGCATTGGAGGGTTTGTTCACATTTTTTAAATTTAAAAATTGATTAAGATTTTTGTAAATCCCGGTGCGAATAGGGAAAATCTCAATTGATTCGGCGTTGCAAATTTTGTTTTTTTTTATCAAAAAGTTATTAAGACAAGTTCTTGAAGTTTGAACAGTTTGGTGTCAGTTGATAGTATGACAATTTTACATGGTTGTGAATTTTGGGGTGTAGATAAAGTTAAATGTGCTGCAAACTTCTGTAGATGACCACTGGCACTGTATCTTGAGAAAAATAATAAATGAGATAAAAAATCAATCGCAAAATACAATTGGTCATTAAATTTAAATTTTTTTAGGATTTGTTTCAATTTGTTCCGAACGGTTGGCGCATTCGTAAACCACAAAGAAAGCAAATGTCTGAAATCTGCATCTGACAAGTCTGGAGGTGAGTGTTTCCAATATATTTGCTCTCCAGCTAGGTAAGCAAATAAGCATGCACTTAGCAATGAAAGCAAAATGGAATCAAGACCATTTTAAATACAGAATACAAATTAATCTAATCGGCCTGCTAGTTTTTTTTCGACAAATTCTCATAGGTTTTCTGAATGTATGAATCTTTGGGATCATTGGAAATATCATTAAGTTTTAATAAATGACATCTAAAGAGGTTATCATGGGATTTTGCGCGCGAAATTAAAAACTGTTTCCAAAAAAATGAAATTTTTTTTGGCGTTTGCTGTAGTTGGACAATAGGGGAAAAAGAATCACGTGAAGAAGCCTTCTCATGATTCTTTTTCGTCTATTGTATTTGGATGTGTTTCACTTTTTTTAAAGTTTTTTTTCTTCTTTTTGTATCTGGCTCCACGCATAATCATCGGAATGGGTCGACTGATTTATCATATTAAAGCCCTTTCAATTGTGATTCAAACAACAATAAAAAATTTTGAAAGTCAATTTTTCAGTGTCGAGAAAAACCGGTCGGAAACTTTTGATTTTTGGTCTAATTTCGAGCTAGTAAGGATTAATAAAATCAGGTTAGCAGGCTTTCAAAAGCTTTTTTAAGCTTAAATTAAGCCGTGAAAACTCAATTTTACTCAAGTAATATCAGTTTTTGAAATTTCTTAGCTCCATTTTGTTAATATCCTTTTTTACATGTATCTTCTGTATTAAGTTTCATCTTTTTTAGTTTGTATGTTCTCAGCACTGTGATATATTAATCGGTGGGCTTAATACAGTTTTACCAGATATCGTTTTTATCACATTTTGGGAGTCAAAACCTTCAAATACTCCAAAAATTCTGCAAAAAAAATTAGAAAAATTTTTAAATTTTGTTTTTCGTTTTCCTAGGCATTTTTCTACAGAAACTGTTTTCTATTTGATTGGTCTATATGATTATCGAATATACTTAGTTTCTCTTAGTTACTCTTTTTATCACAACACACAGAAAAATTGACTTTCTTTTGAAGAAAAGACTGGTGGGAACATTCTCTGCTATTTGCACAGAAACCGGTTATCCTTTTTTCTATTTTTTTGTTCAACTCTTTTTATCATAGCACACAGAAAATTTGACCTTCTTTTGAAAAGACTGGTGGGAACATTCTCTGCAATTTGCACTGTAACCGGTTATCCTTGTTTTGCTTTAATTAAGTACTCAGCGGTTATTTCAAAAAGTTTGAAATAAGTAACCAGAGAGAGGAATGCTATCAGGGTTCTCCAGTGGTTGCGAGTTTGGCCTCCATATATGAATATTCAAATCTTTTTAGTTCACGAATTACAACGATTTTAGTGATTTTTTATTCAAAATATTTCAGGAACCTTAGATTTCTTAATTTTCACAAAATTCGGAATTCCTAAACCTGTAGTTGGTTGCTGTCAGGTTACTCTCAAAGGTTGCAAGTCTTGCCTCCAAATGTAACTGCTTTAAGTTTCCGACTTTTGTTAACGTTTTTCAAAGTGTTTAAAAAACCGATATTTAAAAAAATTCAAAAATGTGGATGTTCACATCCCCATTAGCTGGGCGCTTCTTTTATTTTCAAGATCTGGCATTTTTTCAATGTTTAAAAAAACATAATTAACTTTGAAATTCCCAACCCCATAATGAGTTGCTCTCAGGTTATTCTCAGTAGTTGCAAATCTTACCTACAATTTTGACTGTTTAGACCCTTTTAGTTTTCGAGATATGACGTGTTTATGGTTTTTCTAAACTTGACTTAAAACAAACTTGAATTTGAAAAAACTCTACAAAATTTGAAATTACCAACCCTGTAATTAGGTGCTGTCAGGTTACTCTCAGAGGTTGACATAAAATAGTAGCATTGGAGGGTTTGTTCACATTTTTTAAATTTAAAAATTGATTAAGATTTTTGTAAATCCCGGTGCGAATAGGGAAAATCTCAATTGATTCGGGTTGCAAACTTTGTTTTTTTTATCAAAAAGTTATTAACACAAGTTCTTGAAGTTTGAACAGTTTGGTGTCAGTTGATGCAAGATGTAACTAAATCAGTTTTTTTTTCAAATTCCTTGAATTTTTTAACGCTTTTTCGCTTTGTCAACTATCTTTTGTTTTCTTTTTCCTTTTTTTTTCGTTTTCGAGCATGACATCTAATTGTTCATAGACCGCCCCTCCCTAGAATATCGACCTCTCGTAATGTTTTAAGGGGGGTGTTAAGGTACCCCACAGAATTTTTTTTACCCCAAGTTTTGGAAATGTATGCGGTTTTTAACTGCTCGCAATAAGCTACCTTTTAAAAAATCTGCAGGAGTCTGCATTAAATTACTAAAACTTCATGCCGACTACGTACGATTTTTAATGTTCAAGAAAGTTTTGGTCTCCATTTCTGCATAAAAGAAATCAGAATTGATCCAAAGTTATGAGACCCCCTTAATATTTTTGGACCCACCGCCATGAGAAACGTTCTTTTAAGTTCTGCAGAGTACTCTTCGGGTAGTGGGAACGTCGAATTCCTGAAGTCAACTGCGTCCGACCTCACCCGAAATTCTGCTCCTGAATGAGACGATATTCATAGCATCCCTCATTTTATTGTTTTCAAATGTTATGAATGGCTTAATAAGTTCAAACTGTTCTGTCCGATTTGTCGTTTCAAGTTGTAAGGTTTTTCGAAAATAGCGTTATAGAAGCATTCTATGCTACTTGCAGAGGAAGAGGCTATTTTTTGGCAGTAAGACAACCTTCGAATTTGTTTTTTTTTTAGATGAAGATACAGAAGGTGATCAGTCTGGTGTCATAACATGTGAAAAATGCGGTCGGCAGTTCGATAATTATACTATGAAGCTTCGCCATGATGAATATTTTCATGCTGAAAGTACGCCGATTAAGTCAGCACCGAAATACCCCTCGACGAATAGTGGTAATCGTAATAACGATGATGTCAACGGGGACCACAGTAGTCAAAATTCTACAGATCTCCGAAAACGACTGTCGCCCACGGTAGAAAAATTATCGCCAGAAACAAATATTAATCCAGGCATGCAATGCCAGCAGTGTACTAAGTGGTTTCCATCTGCTGAAAAACTAAAAGCTCATTTGAACTCTGATTGTCCAAATAGGATAGCAAATCGAAACACATCGTCCCAAATTGCAAGACGTGTTTCGGAATCAACGAGACTGGCAAAAATAAGCTCAACATCTCTGATATGCGACTATTGCGACAGTGAATTTAAACTCGATCGAACGAAAGAAAGACACATGCAAAAGTTTCATGCAGAAAAACTAGCATTACCTAAAACCATTAATAAAGTGTTTAGTTGTGAGAAATGTCACAGAATGTATAGTGATGAAGCTAGTTTAAATAGACATCTAGAAGCTATTCATACGGAATCGGTTATACCAAAAAGTCCAATAAAACAAAAAGAAAAGATTCCTAGTAAACAACATTCTCAGCCTGCTAATAAAAAGCGACGCACAAGTGAGAAATTAGAACCATTAAAGCTGGGATCAAAACCCAATTCGACGAAGCCTACAGAGTATCAGAATGGAAATACAGATAGTCCTACAGAAAATGACGATGTTTCCATTTACTGTGACGAAGACAATATGCAATGTTTAATTTGTCTAGCTAAGCTACCCAGTTTAGAAGAGCTGAAATCACACATAGAATCGGAACATTCGACTAATTCGTGCGTCGATGAGCCGAGTCCAATTACCGAACCCGAAAATGTAGAAGGTGCTCAATATTTATCTGATTTTCCTACCAATGATTGGACCTCCGAATTAATAGATAAAAATGGCGAGGCTGACACTGATATTGAAAATTTAGAATGTGGAATTTGTGGCAAAAAATGCAAAACAAAATCAGATTTTGAAACTCATATTTCTATTCCTCATAAAATTGCTATTCGGGAAACTGTAGGTTAGCTTTTGTTGTTTTTGTACGTGCCAATGCATTAATTTGATATTTGATGTCTTTTAATGTGCAATTCGATCTATTTATCGATTTTTCAAAGATAACTATCGAAAAATGTCTTGTTTCTCAAGTTTTCTACTGATAAAATTCAAGAGCTAAAGTATGACAGCTATGGCGAGTGAAAACTGACTCTGATTCAGATATGAATTGTCGGCTATGTTTTTTGCTAGCAGCAGAACCAGTTTTGACAGATGTTGCCACTTGAACTGTTTCTCGACTTAGTCAAGTGAAAATAAAAGCACCAGTGGCCGAATCTTTGTTTTAGTTCTTTGATTTTTGATAGCTGCGGTACCAAGTTAAGAGTTCTTTCTGAAATGCAATGCGGTTTGTCTGTAAGTCCAAAACGAGTCAATTTGCTATGAATGTTGAAAAAACTTTATGCGATGGAAAGAACGTACAATATACGTTCGGATCTCTCGGGTCCATTCGTTATTGGTCTCGTGATTAATAGACAGAAGTTACAATTTTTTTCAGTACTGGAAAATTATGCTTTGCGTCGTGAAACAAGAATGTGCCGCCAAATTTTTTGATTGGGTGGTGGAATTTAGCCCTGGCTGTCATTGCTTAAGTTGGTATTCAAATTCAGATGCATTATGGTTAAGAAAAGCAAGCGCTATATCAACAAGGTCAAAGCGTGACCTTCCAGTTGGTCGATAAACCTCACGCAGACCCCTCGGGTTTCGAAGCCGACAACGTCCGAGTGTGGCATGCGACGAGTGACGAGAAGCGCAAGGAAGAACAATTAGCCTGTGGTATTTATTTTGAAGACGACTATGACTACACTCGGCACCTGAGAGACCGATTCAAAGACCATTTTAAATACAAATTAATCTAATCGGCCTGCTAGTTTTTTTTCGACAAATTCTCATAGGTTTTCTGAATGTATGAATCTTTGGGATCATTGGAAATATCTTTAAATTTTAATAAATGACATCTTAAGAGGTTATCATGGGATTTTGCGCGCGAAATTAAAAACTGTTTCCAAAAAAAATGAAATTTTTTTTGGCGTTTGTTGTAGTTGGACAATAGGGGAAAAAGAATCACATGAAGAAGCCTTCTTATGATTCTTTTTCGTCTATTGTATTTGGATGTGCTTCACTTTTTTAAAGTTTTTTTTCTTCTTTTTATATCTGGCTCTACGCATAATCATCGGAATGGGTTGACTGATTTATCATATTAAAGCCCTTTCAATTGTGATTCAAACAACAATAAAAATTTTTGAAAGTCAATTTTTCAGTGTCGAGAAAAACCGGTCGGAAACTTTTGATTTTTGGTCTAATTTCGAGCTAGTAAGGATTAATAAAATCAGGTTAGCAGGCTTTCAAAAGCTTTTTTAAGCTTAAATTAAGCCGTGAAAACTCAATTTTACTCAAGTAATATCAGTTTTTGAAATTTCTTAGCTCCATTTTGTTAATATCCTTTTTTACATGTATCTTCTGTATTAAGTTTCATCTTTTTTAGTTTGTATGTTCTCAGCACTGTGATATATTCGTCGGTGGGCTTAATACAGTTTTACCAGATATCGTTTTTATCACATTTTGGGAGTCAAAACCTTCAAATACTCCAAAAATTCTGCAAAAAAAATTAGAAAAATTTTTAAATTTTGTTTTTCGTTTTCCTAGGCATTTTTCTACAGAAACTGTTTTCTATTTGATTGGTCTATATGATTGTCGAATATACATAGTTTCTCTTAGTTGCTCTTTTTATCACAACACACAGAAAAATTGACTTTCTTTTGAAGAAAAGACTGGTGGGAACATTCTCTGCTATTTGCACAGAAACCGGTTATCCTTTTTTCTATTTTTTTGTTCAACTCTTTTTATCATAGCACACAGAAAATTTGACTTTCTTTTGAAGAAAAGACTGGTGGGAACATTCTCTGCAATTTGCACTGTAACCGGTTATCCTTGTTTTGCTTTAATTAAGTACTCAGCGGTTATTTCAAAAAGTTTGAAATAAGTAACCAGAGAGAGGAATGCTATCAGGGTTCTCCAGTGGTTGCGAGTTTGGCCTCCATATATGAATATTCAAATCTTTTTAGTTCACGAAATACAACGATTTTAGTGATTTTTTATTCAAAATATTTCAGGAACCTTAGATTTCTTAATTTTCACAAAATTCGGAATTCCTAAACCTGTAGTTGGTTGCTGTCAGGTTACTCTCAAAGGTTGCAAGTCTTGCCTCCAAATGTAACTGCTTTAAGTTTCCGACTTTTGTTAACGTTTTTCAAAGTGTTTAAAAAACCGATATTTAAAAAAATTCAAAAATGTGGATGTTCACATCCCCATTAGCTGGGCGCTTCTTTTATTTTCAAGATCTGGCATTTTTTCAATGTTTAAAAAAACATAATTAACTTTGAAATTCCCAACCCCATAATGAGTTGCTCTCAGGTTATTCTCAGTAGTTGCAAATCTTACCTACAATTTTGACTGTTTAGACCCTTTTAGTTTTCGAGATATGACGTGTTTATGGTTTTTCTAAACTTGACTTAAAACAAACTTGAATTTGAAAAAACTCTACAAAATTTGAAATTACCAACCCTGTAATTAGGTGCTGTCAGGTTACTCTCAGAGGTTGACATAAAATAGTAGCATTGGAGGGTTTGTTCACATTTTTTAAATTTAAAAATTGATTAAGATTTTTGTAAATCCCGGTGCGAATAGGGAAAATCTCAATTGATTCGGCGTTGCAAACTTTGTTTATTTTATCAAAAAGTTATTAACACAAGTTCTTGAAGTTTGAACAGTTTGGTGTCAGTTGATGCAAGATGTAACTAAATCAGTTTTTTTTTCAAATTCCTTGAATTTTTTAACGCTTTTTCGCTTTGTCAACTATCTTTTGTTTTCTTTTTCCTTTTTTTTTCGTTTTCGAGCATGACATCTAATTGTTCATAGACCGCCCCTCCCTAGAATATCGACCTCTCGTAATGTTTTAAGGGGGGTGTTAAGGTACCCCACAGAATTTTTTTTACCCCAAGTTTTGGAAATGTATGCGGTTTTTAACTGCTCGCAATAAGCTACCTTTTAAAAAATCTGCAGGAGTCTGCATTAAATTACTAAAACTTCATGCCGACTACGTACGATTTTTAATGTTCAAGAAAGTTTTGGTCTCCATTTCTGCATAAAAGAAATCAGAATTGATCCAAAGTTATGAGACCCCCTTAATATTTTTGGACCCACCGCCATGAGAAACGTTCTTTTGTTCCCTTGCCGCGAATTAAGTTCTGCAGAGTACTCTTCGGGTAGTGGGAACGTCGAATTCCTGAAGTCAACTGCGTCCGACCTCACCCGAAATTCTGCTCCTGAATGAGACGATATTCATAGCATCCCTCATTTTATTGTTTTCAAATGTTATGAATGGCTTAATAAGTTCAAACTGTTCTGTCCGATTTGTCGTTTCAAGTTGTAAGGTTTTTCGAAAATAGCGTTATAGAAGCATTCTATGCTACTTGCAGAGGAAGAGGCTATTTTTTGGCAGTAAGACAACCTTCGAATTTGTTTTTTTTTTAGATGAAGATACAGAAGGTGATCAGTCTGGTGTCATAACATGTGAAAAATGCGGTCGGCAGTTCGATAATTATACTATGAAGCTTCGCCATGATGAATATTTTCATGCTGAAAGTACGCCGATTAAGTCAGCACCGAAATACCCCTCGACGAATAGTGGTAATCGTAATAACGATGATGTCAACGGGGACCACAGTAGTCAAAATTCTACAGATCTCCGAAAACGACTGTCGCCCACGGTAGAAAAATTATCGCCAGAAACAAATATTAATCCAGGCATGCAATGCCAGCAGTGTACTAAGTGGTTTCCATCTGCTGAAAAACTAAAAGCTCATTTGAACTCTGATTGTCCAAATATGATAGCAAATCGAAACACATCGTCCCAAATTGCAAGACGTGTTTCGGAATCAACGAGACTGGCAAAAATAAGCTCAACATCTCTGAAATGCGACTATTGCGACAGTGAATTTAAACTCAATCGAACGAAAGAAAGACACATGCAAAAGTTTCATGCAGAAAAACTAGCATTACCTAAAACCATTAATAAAGTGTTTAGTTGTGAGAAATGTCACAGAATGTATAGTGATGAAGCTAGTTTAAATAGACATGTAGAAGCTATTCATACGGAATCGGTTATACCAAAAAGTCCAATAAAACAAAAAGAAAAGATTCCTAGTAAACAACATTCTCAGCCTGTTAATAAAAAGCGACGCACAAGTGAGAAATTAGAACCATTAAAGCTGGGATCAAAACCCAATTCGACGAAGCCTACAGAGTATCAGAATGGAAATACAGATAGTCCTACAGAAAATGACGATGTTTCCATTTACTGTGACGAAGACAATATGCAATGTTTAATTTGTCTAGCTAAGCTACCCAGTTTAGAAGAGCTGAAATCACACATAGAATCGGAACATTCGACTAATTCGTGCGTCGATGAGCCGAGTCCAATTACCGAACCCGAAAATGTAGAAGGTGCTCAATATTTATCTGATTTTCCCACCAATGATTGGACCTCCGAATTAATAGATAAAAATGGCGAGGCTGACACTGATATTGAAAATTTAGAATGTGGAATTTGTGGCAAAAAATGCAAAACAAAATCAGATTTTGAAACTCATATTTCTATTCCTCATAAAATTGCTATTCGGGAAACTGTAGGTTAGCTTTTGTTGTTTTTGTACGTGCCAATGCATGAATTTGATATTTGATGTCTTTTAATGTGCAATTCGATCTATTTATCGATTTTTCAAAGATAACTATCGAAAAATGTCTTGTTTCTCAAGTTTTCTACTGATAAAATTCAAGAGCTAAAGTATGACAGCTATGGCGAGTGAAAACTGACTCTGATTCAGATATGAATTGTCGGCTATGTTTTTTGCTAGCAGCAGAACCAGTTTTGACAGATGTTGCCACTTGAACTGTTTCTCGACTTAGTCAAGTGAAAATAAAAGCACCAGTGGCCGAATCTTCGTTCTAGTTCTTTGATTTTTGATTGCTGCGGTAACAAGTTAAAAGTTCTTTCTGAAATGCAAAGCGGTTTGTCTGTAAGTCCAAAACGAGTCAATTTGCTATGAATGTTGAAAAATTTTATGCGATGGAAAGAACGTACAATATACGTTCGGATCTCTCGGGTCCATTCGTTATTGGTCTCGTGATTAATAGACGGAAGTTACATTTTTTTCAGTACTGGAAAGTTATACTTTGCGCCGTGAAACAAGAATGTGCCGCCAAATTTTTTGATTGGGTGGTGGAATTTAGCCCTGGCTGTCATTGCTTAAGTTGGTATTCAAATTCAGATGCATTATGGTTAAGAAAAGCAAGCGCTATATCAACAAAGGTCAAAGCGTGACCTTCCAGTTGGTCGATAAACCTCACGCAGACCCCTCGGGTTTCGAAGCCGACAACGTCCGAGTGTGGCATGCGACGAGTGACGAGAAGCGCAAGGAAGAACAATTAGCCTGTGGTATTTATTTTGAAGACGACTATGACTACACTAGGCACCTGAGAGACCGATTCGGCGAGGGAACGAGAGACCAGGAAGAGAAAGCTGTTCCACTTTGGGAAGAGATAGAGGAGGGACAGTTTGATGACGTGGTTTCTGTCAAAAGCTCAAAGAGCAAAGGTGAGAGAGCGCAAAACTTTGTTATACTCAAGTTGCAATTTGTTACTTCGGTTTTGGGTTTTCATTTGCTTTTTACTTTGGTTTTGAGTTAAAATTTGGGTGGGGATATTTTCTTATCGAGTAATCAGGTGCCTCCAAAAACTGCGGGTGAGTCATTGTTGAAGCTAGCTATTTTAGTTGCGATTTTAAATAAATCATTTTGATAAATTTCCAAGTGAAAAGAAAATGGTGTTCGCGCCAGGCCATATTAATTTACGAGTGTTACGAAAGGTATAGAGTATATTGATTGACGGGGAATGAATGGACTAAAATCGTAAGTGTTTTAACCTCATTTACACAAGCAAGCGTGAGAACGTTAATGTTATGCGGTCAGTCCACTTTTTCCAAAAACTCTCGATAATTAAGTACAAATTTTTGAATAATAATTGTTGAAGATATAATTTTTGAGGGACATTTCAAATTTTTTTTCGAAGATATGAACATCCTGCGCTCGCATGTAAAATCAATTTAATCTGCAATCTTTTTCCGTAATTTTTTGAGGTTTGACTAGGGGATATTTGTCAATTTGCTGCAATGAGTTATGCGCAATTGCATGGATTTATCCTAGGTTTTCAACGTCTAAGCGCAAATTAAAGCCCTTTCAAGTATCATATTAAAGCCCTTTCAGTCGTGATTCCATCACTTTAAAAAATTTCTAAAAAATTTTCACAGTGTCGAGAAAAACCGGTTTGAAATTTTCGCTTTTTTTTGTCTTAATTCGGGCGAATAAAGCATGCGAGCAGGCTTACAAGCTGAATTATGCCTAATTTAAGACCTTAAAACTTAATTTTAAGCATGTTTTACTTGCGTAAAACTTAATTTTAAGCAAGTAAAACTAATTTTAAGCAAGTAAAGTAGTTTTCGGAGTCTTTTTTGTTTAATTTTTAATTTTTTTAAATAGTTTTTCTACAAAAGTTTTTGTCCAATTTGCCTATATTACTATGACTGTCTAATTTGCCTAAATTATACTTTTGAGGTCAGATCTTTTTATCACTTAAAGCAGGAAAAACACTAATTTGGAAACAAAACTTTCTAAACCATAATTTTCTACAGACTATGGTCGGAACATTCTGTGCTACTTGCTCAGTAGCCAGCTATCCTTGTTGTAATTTCAAGATATATTTAGTCGTTTCCGCCGATTTTTCGAGCTAATTTTTGACCGTTTCTCATCGTTTGTGTTAGCGAAGTGCACTTTTTATTGTTATTGAAATGCGGCTGCGCCTCAATCATGATCAGTTAAAATAGTTTTGTCTTCAACCTTAAAGTCTTGTCATTTTCTTCTAGTTTTTAGCAAAAGTTAATGAAAGTTGCTGGCCGGACACGCTTCTTGCCTGTTTTATGCAAGTTTATGTTAGGTACGCTGGCAGGATCTAAGGTGAAGTGGTGTAACGCTAGTGCTTGTTCCTCGAATCCTCTGGTTCCTCGAATCCTCATATTAATTTACGAGTGTTACGAAAGGTATAGAGTATATTGATTGACGGGGAATGAATGGACTAAAATCGTAAGTGTTTTAACCTCATTTACACAAGCAAGCGTGAGAACGTTAATGTTATGCGGTCAGTCCACTTTTTCCAAAAACTCTCGATAATTAAGTACAAATTTTTGAATAATAATTGTTGAAGATATAATTTTTGAGGGACATTTCAAATTTTTTTTCGAAGATATGAACATCCTGCGCTCGCATGTAAAATCAATTTAATCTGCAATCTTTTTCCGTAATTTTTTGAGGTTTGACTAGAGGATATTTGTCAATTTGCTGCAATGAGTTATGCGCAATTGTATGGATTTATCCTAGGTTTTCAACGTCTAAGCGCAAATTAAAGCCCTTTCAAGTATCATATTAAAGCCCTTTCAGTCGTGATTCCATCACTTTAAAAAATTTCTAAAAAATTTTCACAGTGTCGAGAAAAACCGGTTTGAAATTTTCGCTTTTTTTTGTCTTAATTCGGGCGAATAAAGCATGCGAGCAGGCTTACAAGCTGAATTATGCCTAATTTAAGACCTTAAAACTTAATTTTAAGCATGTTTTACTTGCGTAAAACTTAATTTTAAGCAAGTAAAACTAATTTTAAGCAAGTAAAGTAGTTTTCGGAGTCTTTTTTGTTTAATTTTTAATTTTTTTAAATAGTTTTTCTACAAAAGTTTTTGTCCAATTTGCCTATATTACTATGACTGTCTAATTTGCCTAAATTATACTTTTGAGGTCAGATCTTTTTATCACTTAAAGCAGGAAAAACACTAATTTGGAAACAAAACTTTCTAAACCATAATTTTCTACAGACTATGGTCGGAACATTCTGTGCTACTTGCTCAGTAGCCAGCTATCCTTGTTGTAATTTCAAGATATATTTAGTCGTTTCCGCCGATTTTTCGAGCTAATTTTTGACCGTTTCTCATCGTTTGTGTTAGCGAAGTGCACTTTTTATTGTTATTGAAATGCGGCTGCGCCTCAATCATGATCAGTTAAAATAGTTTTGTCTTCAACCTTAAAGTCTTGTCATTTTCTTCTAGTTTTTAGCAAAAGTTAATGAAAGTTGCTGGCCGGACACGCTTCTTGCCTGTTTTATGCAAGTTTATGTTAGGTACGCTGGCAGGATCTAAGGTGAAGTGGTGTAACGCTAGTGCTTGTTCCTCGAATCCTCTGGTTCCTCGAATCCTCATATTAATTTACGAGTGTTACGAAAGGTATAGAGTATATTGATTGACGGGGAATGAATGGACTAAAATCGTAAGTGTTTTAACCTCATTTACACAAGCAAGCGTGAGAACGTTAATGTTATGCGGTCAGTCCACTTTTTCCAAAAACTCTCGATAATTAAGTACAAATTTTTGAATAATAATTGTTGAAGATATAATTTTTGAGGGACATTTCAAATTTTTTTTCGAAGATATGAACATCCTGCGCTCGCATGTAAAATCAATTTAATCTGCAATCTTTTTCCGTAATTTTTTGAGGTTTGACTAGGGGATATTTGTCAATTTGCTGCAATGAGTTATGCGCAATTGTATGGATTTATCCTAGGTTTTCAACGTCTAAGCGCAAATTAAAGCCCTTTCAAGTATCATATTAAAGCCCTTTCAGTCGTGATTCCATCACTTTAAAAAATTTCTAAAAAATTTTCACAGTGTCGAGAAAAACCGGTTTGAAATTTTCGCTTTTTTTTGTCTTAATTCGGGCGAATAAAGCATGCGAGCAGGCTTACAAGCTGAATTATGCCTAATTTAAGACCTTAAAACTTAATTTTAAGCATGTTTTACTTGCGTAAAACTTAATTTTAAGCAAGTAAAACTAATTTTAAGCAAGTAAAGTAGTTTTCGGAGTCTTTTTTGTTTAATTTTTAATTTTTTTAAATAGTTTTTCTACAAAAGTTTTTGTCCAATTTGCCTATATTACTATGACTGTCTAATTTGCCTAAATTATACTTTTGAGGTCAGATCTTTTTATCACTTAAAGCAGGAAAAACACTAATTTGGAAACAAAACTTTCTAAACCATAATTTTCTACAGACTATGGTCGGAACATTCTGTGCTACTTGCTCAGTAGCCAGCTATCCTTGTTGTAATTTCAAGATATATTTAGTCGTTTCCGCCGATTTTTCGAGCTAATTTTTGACCGTTTCTCATCGTTTGTGTTAGCGAAGTGCACTTTTTATTGTTATTGAAATGCGGCTGCGCCTCAATCATGATCAGTTAAAATAGTTTTGTCTTCAACCTTAAAGTCTTGTCATTTTCTTCTAGTTTTTAGCAAAAGTTAATGAAAGTTGCTGGCCGGACACGCTTCTTGCCTGTTTTATGCAAGTTTATGTTAGGTACGCTGGCAGGATCTAAGGTGAAGTGGTGTAACGCTAGTGCTTGTTCCTCGAATCCTCTGGTTCCTCGAATCCTCATATTAATTTACGAGTGTTACGAAAGGTATAGAGTATATTGATTGACGGGGAATGAATGGACTAAAATCGTAAGTGTTTTAACCTCATTTACACAAGCAAGCGTGAGAACGTTAATGTTATGCGGTCAGTCCACTTTTTCCAAAAACTCTCGATAATTAAGTACAAATTTTTGAATAATAATTGTTGAAGATATAATTTTTGAGGGACATTTCAAATTTTTTTTCGAAGATATGAACATCCTGCGCTCGCATGTAAAATCAATTTAATCTGCAATCTTTTTCCGTAATTTTTTGAGGTTTGACTAGGGGATATTTGTCAATTTGCTGCAATGAGTTATGCGCAATTGTATGGATTTATCCTAGGTTTTCAACGTCTAAGCGCAAATTAAAGCCCTTTCAAGTATCATATTAAAGCCCTTTCAGTCGTGATTCCATCACTTTAAAAAATTTCTAAAAAATTTTCACAGTGTCGAGAAAAACCGGTTTGAAATTTTCGCTTTTTTTTGTCTTAATTCGGGCGAATAAAGCATGCGAGCAGGCTTACAAGCTGAATTATGCCTAATTTAAGACCTTAAAACTTAATTTTAAGCATGTTTTACTTGCGTAAAACTTACTTTTAAGCAAGTAAAACTAATTTTAAGCAAGTAAAGTAGTTTTCGGAGTCTTTTTTGTTTAATTTTTAATTTTTTTAAATAGTTTTTCTACAAACGTTTTTGTCCAATTTGCCTATATTACTATGACTGTCTAATTTGCCTAAATTATACTTTTGAGGTCAGATCTTTTTATCACTTAAAGCAGGAAAAACACTAATTTGGAAACAAAACTTTCTAAACCATAATTTTCTACAGACTATGGTCGGAACATTCTGTGCTACTTGCTCAGTAGCCAGCTATCCTTGTTGTAATTTCAAGATATATTTAGTCGTTTCCGCCGATTTTTCGAGCTAATTTTTGACCGTTTCTCATCGTTTGTGTTAGCGAAGTGCACTTTTTATTGTTATTGAAATGCGGCTGCGCCTCAATCATGATCAGTTAAAATAGTTTTGTCTTCAACCTTAAAGTCTTGTCATTTTCTTCTAGTTTTTAGCAAAAGTTAATGAAAGTTGCTGGCCGGACACGCTTCTTGCCTGTTTTATGCAAGTTTATGTTAGGTACGCTGGCAGGATCTAAGGTGAAGTGGTGTAACGCTAGTGCTTGTTCCTCGAATCCTCTGGTTTTTCTCCCAGTGTTCTTTTTCCAGTTTTTCTTAGGTTTCCGCAAGTAAATTATTTCTGATGAGGGCGTTTCTTTTTCTTGTTTTTTTTCTTTATTTCTGAAAGCTCGCTTTTCAAATTAGTTCATAAAAAAATGCTGGATAAATTATGCTATCCAGCTATAGAAATTGAATCGGAGCGTAGAATTAATTTGGACTTAGTTTGAACTTAATGATTTTGAGTTAAAAATTCAAAGCTGAATAAATTACAAGGATAGCCGGTTACTGCAAATAGCGCAGAATGTTCTGACCGAACTCTTAACAAAAATACTTACCTTTTTAAGCCTGCACGCTGACCTTATTAGCTGAAACTTCGACAAAAATGAAAAGATCAAGCCTGTTTTTCTCGACACTGAGAAAAATTTAATGTCATTCTTCGAATCACGACTGAAAGGGCTTTAATTTGATATATGGCTCGACCCCTTCTGATGATCACACTAGTCAGTACTTAGTGTATTAATACCAACCTTCTGTTTTTCTAACCTAACTCAAATAAAAGTGTTTATTGAAAATTGGAAAACTGACTTGGCGGCACTTTCGCAATAATCGCGACCTAGCATCGGAAATTTCATAGCACCTGTTCTCTGCTCTATTTGCTAGTGTATATCTCTTCCCTGACTAGTGTATGTAATGTATTACGCATGCGTGGCCGAGTGCTTAGTGCGTGAGACTCATAATCTCTTGGTTGCAGTAGGTCACAGATCGAATCCGAGAAGTTGCCGCATTTTTTAAAACTAATTTGAGGTTCATTTCTACTTTCTTATTGCACTTTATAGAGCTAGTTTTTGTCGGGTTCTCACTAGTGTTATTTGTGGTACCTGATATTGCGTGGAAAACATAAATAAAAAACAAATACCTGAGTACAAAGTTACTCCGCATTTTTCAAATGTTCGGAACACTTGAATATTCATCCGGTGTTCTCTAATTGGATTATTTTTATTACACTTGCTAAATCAAGTGTCTTGTGAAAATGCGTCAATCATAAAAGATCATTGAAAGATATCTGGAGTGATGTCATTTGGTGTATGTTGCTCACAATATGAAAAGATGCAAAAAACCACGAGTATTGTTCTCGAATTTTTAATTCTTTGACGATTTTCCAGCTGTCTCTTGCTTTCTATGTGCCAATTTTCAAAGATCTTAAAATTTCAGATATTTTTGTCCTGTCGTTGAGCGTGCGAAGTAAAAGTTTGCATGCATTAAGTTTTTAGTAAACCTCCAAAATCTATGACAAAAATAGATTGTTTCCATGATATTGTTTTCAAAAATTGCAGTTAATCGATGCGTGTTTGGACATCCATTGCTTTTGCATTGTAACTGGCTGCTTCGACCACATTCAGTGGGAATTAATTATGCCCTAGGGTAATTTAAGGGTACTTTAAATCTCAGAACAGCTGTTTTAAACGCAGGGGCGGGTCTAGGATTTGCTCGAGGGGGGCTTTTTGTCGACTTTTTTAAAATCTATTTAATTGATTTTATGAGCTCTCCCAAATCTCTATAAGAGTCTCATTTTGTCCACATTTGTTGCACCGCAGGCGAAAACATAAAAAAGCTGAAAAAAATACGATTTTAGGCTTTGGAAATTTTGACCAAGAAATTGTGTTTTTGGGCGTGCACTCCCTCTCAAAATTTCTATATGGCCGCCTAAGGCTGTTTTGGGTGTTTTTAAGGGTGGTCAGCCAAGAATGGATGAATTAAAATAGTACCAAAGGGTCAGCAGGGGGTCGAATTCCTAAGGGGAAAGAGCGTCCGTAACCCCTCCCCTTACCTAAATCTGCTCTTGTTCTGTTCTGTTAAGCAAAGCTTGCTAGAAGAGGCCCCTGCCCGTCCTTGCTTGAGAGGAAAAGTTAAAAGCATCATGAAGGCTAGACTGTGGTAATTTCGTCCTTGGTTGCCAGACGTCTTCGGTTCCGTACCATCATTGGCTCGGATGGTGGATCTGTTTCGGCGTCTATTTGCAGCCTCGGCTCTCAGGTGACCCCTCGTGTGCGAACTGAGCTACCCTCTGTACTTCGCAACGAAAGTGCAACGGCAGCAAGTGAAAGCAATAATAGTTGTAGGCTCGGCGGTTCTTATTTTGGCTTGCAGTATTGTGCCAGTACTTGTGCTTGCGGTCTGTTGCAGCCTCGGCTTTCAGTTGGCTCCTCGTACAAGCCGTCTCATGTCTTGCCAGCGACCCTGCGTTGGTTGACATTTTTTGGTTGAATTAAAATAGTACCAAAGGTTCGGAAGGGGGTCGAATCACTGAGGAGAAAGAGCTTCCGTAACCCCCTCCCCTTCCCTAAATCCGCTCTTGTTTAAAATTATCCGTTTCTGGCAAACTAAGCCTTTGTAAATCAGCAGAAAGCTTTCAAGGAAACATAAGCCACTGATTTAATAGTTTGACATAAAGAAAATGAATATTCTCTCTAAGAGTTTTATGCAGTCACAACATCTGAGTAATTTCGGAATTGAAGAGTTGTTCATCAGAATATGTATTGTTTTAGGTGGTAAAAGTGACATCTTCAACGACAGCGACTTCCCCTCTCTAGTTGCTCTTGAGGCACACTTGACAGCTGTCGAGAACGTAGATGACTACAACGTAATGGCTGCCACTGCTCAAGAAAAGCCAGGGCCCCACTGGGACGAAGACATCGCACAAACTATGGCCGACAATTTCACAGATTTCTGTGACGATCTGGAAGACGATTTTGTAACTCTTGCAGGCGGAGTTGCAGATGAGAATTACGATAATGACTTTCCGGAACTGGGTGCCTTTGATGGTGATTATGAAGACGAAGATGGAAGTTGCGAAGTATATCGTGAAGGCGCTCGAGCTGATGACTGGAGAGACGTTTTAGCTGAGACCGAAATGGACCAGCATACAGATCCGCTGTTGGAAGAGCGTAAAAAGTTCCTCCTTGGAGATAACTACATGGACTCCAAGTCTCAGAAGTCAAGATTCACCGAGTATTCTTTAACTTCATCTGCAGTTCCTAGAAGTGAATGTCAAACTGATCTTGATGATCATTTTGAAATAATGTATGGTGAGTATGACGACCTTGAAGTTGGCGCTCTAGATCACGAAGAGGTTGAGGGGCATTTGAAAACTGACCACCCTGCAGTATTACACGTACTGGGTCTAGATGGCGAAGGAAAAGGGCAACCAGTTGTAGACAGCGATGATGATCCAGAAATGAGAGTAACCATAGATGATATTTCGGAGAGACTTCAAGAGTGCGCTTCAGATGTAGATTCGGATGACTTATTTCCGGAACCAGAACCGAAACCGGAATTCGACTGCGAGTCAATTCTGTCAACCTACTCGAATATCTACAACAGACCGAAGGTTATAAAAGCTGAAACTAAAGTGCAATTGGACCAATCAGGAATGCCGAAATTGGAAAAAGATTACCCGGAAAAGTTGCCCCATCCGGACGAGTCAGAAATGGATAGACTCAAGTGGATTCCGCCGAATATAAAGAGAAAAGACGAAACTAAAGAGGAAACGAGAGAACGACAGAAAATTCAAAAAGAGGAACAGAGGCTGAGAAGGATCGAGAAAAAGAACAATAAACTTGCTTTTAAAATGGAAGAAATCCGACAGCAAAGATCTGAAATTAACAAGCAAAGAAGTAGCGGATTTAAGTATTAGTTGCAATCAAAATTTTTCTCGCCTCATTTTTTTCTAGTGTTCGTAAATATATCAGATAAATCACCAGCGGATTTGGGGGGGGGGGTTCGACTCCCTCCCTTAGTGATTCGACCCCCTGTCAACCGAAAGTGTCCCCCTATGCACTAATTTGATATATCCATTTTTTGCTAACGGACCCTAAGATTTTTCTAAAGGCGCCAATATTTAGCCTGTTTTTTTTCAAATTTTTGGTCAGTTTTCTGGCCAAAACAAGGTCTTTTTAGAGTGCTTTGGGAGAGCTCGGAAAATCAATTTAGTCAACCTATAAAAAAGGTCGACAAAATTTTCGAAACTTTTTTGAAAATCCCCTCGTGAAAATCCTAGATCCGCACCTGAGAGAAATCATTGTTGCATCAGCTCCTGATTTTGATAAAATGATGTTTTCAGATTGTAATTAAATGTTCTAGTTGGTCATTTATTCTCTCTGCTGATCGCAATTGTGAGTCTGATGATCGAATGAGCCCATTTCCAGCCACAAATGGAATCCATGTGGGCGGTAATGTCAATTTGAACATGCAGCAGCAACCACATCAGTTGTCCTCTCAGGCGTCTGGCTGGAACCAGATGAGTGGATCTCTGTCTGCCAAGCCTACAACTGGCTGGCTCCATCCAGACGAATCTCTCATAGGAGACGGAGTTAGATTCCACGTTAACTACGTAGGATGTGTCGCCATTAAGGAGAGCATGCGCAGTTAGTATGTTCAGATAATCTGAAATTGTTCGTTGTTGGTCACAACGTCTTCGGTCAACGAATCTGAGCACAATTTAATCACGAATTTGTTCATTTGAAATCAGACGCCAATTTCTTAAAGCCTTCCCACTCTTAAACCATGTCTAAACTTCTAATCAACTGAAATGACACTTTTCGATCCTTGCTTAAATTTAGCAGTAACCTTAAATATAAGGTAAGGTGTGATGTTTTTTCGTAATCAAATATGTACAAAACTGAAACCGACCAGCTACTAAAAAGCTACTAAGTTTCGTCTTTTCATGGTCATGCAATAGTTTTATGGGAGCTTTTAGGATTCTAAAGAAAATAATTACCCTTCGCTTAAGGGTTCAAAAGAACGCAGAAGCTCTGATCATCGTGTAGCGCTTATAAGTCTTATAATCAGTGGACAAATTAAAAATTATCTGTCCTCAAAGCATTCATTTCATTGTCTAGCATTGATCTGTTTTTGGTATTCCTATCCATAAAAGGACGTCGAGCACTGATATTTTTCTTTGTGTTGTAGATTTGGACTTCGACAAGCGTACTTTATTGGCTAGAGAAGCTATCTGCCAAGTGGTGCATTTCACTCACTATAAACACCTGCAAAACTGGACGCCAAATGAACAGCTGCAGAAAAGTAAGAGAATTAACAAGAAAATGTATTGGAAATTTCAGTTTGTTGTGATACCAGAGGAATAATTTGGTAAACTTCAATTTATGCGGCGCTTAGTTTAAGTGGAACCGGTATTTTACATCGATTTTACCATAGATAAATGAAGTTTTTGCCTGATAGTGTTTTTCCTTTCATCGCTGATAAAGTGTAAACGAACGAAATGATTATTAATAGTCGATGAACGTTGTGAAGTCTCTTATATAGAGCATGATGGTTTTTTGTTTGTGTGATTTTTAGCGGTTCGACATCTGATTTTTTTGAAAGTTCTGTTCATTTTCTTGTTATGAAGAGCTATAGTTCAGAGTTATAGTTCTTGTTATAGTTCAGAGAGCTATAAGACCATAAATGTTATACATTTTTTGAAATTCAAAAATTGAAGTTTCATCTCGCTTCATAAGAACTTATAAAAATTAATAAACCATTCAGCGCATGTGGTATAGAAGTAAAACACCTGTTTGAGATGACAAAAGTTTCGAATCCGACCGGGATCTATTTTTTTGTTCAAACTAGAAAGTTTCTGCTTTTTAGCACTATTGTCCCTCTGTTTGTTTTTGTTTGTCGGCTTAGTTCCAGTAGCACGGACTCTTTGTAAATGTTAAGCTTTCTTCAAGTTCCTGAATGCGATTTCTAAAGCCCATTGGTGGAGGTAATTGAGTTCCAAGTTTTTCGCTGAATTTTAGTTGAATTTTTTTTTCGTATCTGCAACCACTTTTGTAAATCTGCATTCCAGACTTGTTGTAAGCGTGTTCGCGTTTCAAATACCAGTTCTATTTACATTAGTGAGCCTAAGTGAGCGTAGTCTAAGAATACGAATATTCTTTTTTCCCAAGCTAAGTAGCAAATATTGATGCCACTTTTGGTGGCTCCGTTACGGCTATTTGATAAAATGTGCTTTGTCATAAGATTAGTACTAAGTTGAGGCCTTTTCAATCCATCGAATGAATAGAAAAAAGCTGCTTGCTTCAAACAAAAGTACTATAATTGCACTTGCTATCAGCTTAGTGTGTTATTACGAACCTTCTTTTTTCTAACTTATCTCGCAAACAAAAGTGTTCCTTAAAAGTGTTCACTTATTTGGAAATTTCACTGTAGCAATGGGAAATTGCATAGCATTTGTTCTCTCCTTCATTTGTGAATGAGTGGTTATTTGTACCAAAGTTTCCGTTGCTTAGTGGTTAGTGTGTGAGCCTCTTAATCTCTAGGTCGCAGGTTCGAATCTCAGAGGTATAAAGATTTTTGCTAATTCGAGGATTATTTTCATTTTTTATTATTGCATTATAGAGCTGCGTTTTGTCGTGGCCTTGAAAGTGTTTGCGAAGCAAAGCTTGGCCTCTGTGTAAAAATTTGATTTCAGAAAATTTTCAACTCAATATATCTCGCAATTTTTGTGAAATGCATAATATATGCATAATTTGGCTTTATGCGTTCCAATTTATTACATGCAAATTTAGTGTAGAGGCCTTCAGTTTTTTATATTCCAATTTATTACATGCAGGTCGTAGATTCGAATCCGATATGTAGCAAAGTTTTACTAATTCGAGGCTTATTTATACTTTTTAGTTCACTTTTTAAGGCTGCTTTTGTGTCGATTTCTCGTGTTTGCGAAGAGCAGCCTCGTTTTGTCTATATTTGTTTGATTTGTTTTTAAATTTTCCAACTACGGTTCGGCATATTTTCATCGTTTTTCTTGGTTTTTGTGTAGTTGGTTCTTTTTTCGATTTATACCTAGTCGATATCATATTGCATCGTTGGATGAGCGAAACAAGTTAAAGCATGTGTCTTTTGAGGGGGTAAATTAAGATTTTTGAAAGTTAGTTTTTTAACTGACTGACGGGCTGTTCTACCGCTTCAACGCTGTCGTTATTTTCAATTGTCCTTTTTGTCATACTTTTTTACGAAGTTAAGTATATGAAAATTTTAGGTAGGCAAGGCGGCTTCTTTCGAAATTTTTAAAAACTTTTGTTTCAACTTAGCTTCTTTTTGTCAGATTTTTTACTTCTATTTTGTCATGCTATCTTTGTGTTGTATCGCAAGTGGTGCGAAGCTCTGCTTTGATTCTGTTAAAAATTTGTTCACGCTCAAATTTGATTTTTTTTGCAATTTTTTGAAGATCACTTCATTTTCTCTGTTAAATGAAGGCAAACTGCACTTTCGAACAGCAAAAAAAACATTGGTCACGAAATTGTGAATGAATTCTGGTTTCAAAACTGCAGTTTTAGTTTCAAAATATTACCCCAGTGGAATGGTTCCAAGAGTTAACATTATTTGAATTCAAAGAGCTTCAACTTGATGTTATTTTTTTCAAATTTCAATATTTAAAAATGTTCAAAAAAATTTCAACCGATTCGTTGTTCTTTCAATCGTGTTTTTTGTTCTTTCAGTCAATCATCGAAGATTTTTGAAATTAAAAGAGCTGAAAGGTGATATATATTTTTTGAAATTTGAAAGTTCGTTTATTAAGAGTAATGAACGTAGTGAAGACCCATATATAGGTCTTGCTGATTTTTTTTTCTTTTCAGGAAAAAGTCTAAAGTTTGTTCACGCTCAATTTTGATTTTTCGCGATTTGACTTGTGATTTCTTTTTAAGGTCATTGCATTTCTATTGTTAAAAGGAAGTCAAACTCCACTATCGATCAGCAAAATTGTTAAGGTCACGAAAAACGAGATCGACTTCTAATTTTGAAATTGGAAAATAATTATCAGACTTCCCAGCGAAATAAAAGTTATTTATTGATCCAGTTTTCTCAAATTGGGTTAATTTTAACAAAAAAAGTGTCCATCATAAATTGTTCTACAAATTCAAAGAGCTTTAAGTCCATGTATTTGTTTTTTTCTAAATTCAAAAGCTTAAGATTTTTTTAAAAAATCAGTTTTTGTTTTAGTTTCATTGCGCTCATTACTCTTCTCCAACTACAATTGTTCTTAATTATACCAGAAAATTTAAAAATTCGAGTTTGTATATGTAGCTGCTTTATTTGAGACTAGTGTTAGAATAGTTAAGAGTGTTTCGAATAGATAAGACTAGTGTTTCGATTAGTTAAGAGTCGGGGGCCGAGTGGGCAGGTCGTAGATTCGAATCCGATATGTAGCAAAGTTTTACTAATTCGAGGCTTATTTATACTTTTTAGTTCACTTTTTAAGGCTGCTTTTGTGTCGATTTCTCGTGTTTGCGAAGAGCAGCCTCGTTTTGTGTCTATATTTGTTTGATTTGTTTTTAAATTTTCCAACTACGGTTCGGCATATTTTCATCGTTTTTCTTGGTTTTTGTGTAGTTGGTTCTTTTTTCGATTTATACCTAGTCGATATCATATTGCATCGTTGGATGAGCGAAACAAGTTAAAGCATGTGTCTTTTGAGGGGGTAAATTAAGATTTTTGAAAGTTAGTTTTTTATGAACTCGGGCTGACGGGCTGTTCTACCGCTTCGACGCTGTCGTTATTTTCAATTGTCCTTTTTGTCATACTTTTTTACGAAGTTAAGTATATGAATATTTTCGGTAGGCAAGGCGGCTTCTTTCGAAATTTTTAAAAACTTTTGTTTCGACTTAGCTTCTTTTTGTCTGGTTTTTTACTTCTATTTTGTCATGCTATCTTTGTGTTGTATCTTTGTGTTGTATGTTATTTTTTTCAAATTTCAATATTTAAAAATGTTCAAAAAAATTTCAATCGATTCGTTGTTCTTTCAATCGTTTTTTTTTTCGGTTTCCTTTTTCTGTTCATTCGCTTTTTGAAACTGGGTTGACTTTTTGATCAAATTTGTATAAACATTCCTGAAATTGGACGCCGAGGCAAAGCAGAGCTTCGAACAACTTGCGATACCTTATAAACAGCATGGCAAGCTATACTACAGAAAAATAGAGGAAATATACCAAACAAAGCAATTATTTGAGCAAAAAATAATGAAAAAAAGTGCTGCTACCCAAATTCTTGTCTCGACGAATTAATTTCAATTTGAAGAAAACATGCCATGGAACACAATTGCCAGCGTTGGATTAGATTTCAGGCACAATTTATCTAGCGGGGATTAAGTCGACAGTACTTAGGTAGACGCACGTTGAGCATAACTCTAAATTGTTGTCGCGAAAATTTAACCAGAAAAATTTGAAGCTCGGAAGTTTTTACATCGCTCCACCCTGAAGCACACGCATAAATATTTTTGTCACCCTCCAAATGACGCAAAATGAGGCGAGTCTCTCGATAACTCATCGATTTAGATTTAAACCTGTCTTGCGAAAAAATTGAGCATGAATTTATACAAAATTGGATCTATTTAATTTACAAAATACTGAATTACATCAAAATGACTTTAAAAATAGACATCAAAATGACACATAACTGTAATGTTAGTAGTCCAGTAGTTTATTTTGGATTTTCATGAGCTTGAGCATGTCAGCACCTGAATGTGGTCCTCCTACTGGCCAATAATTTTGTACTGTCCAATGAGTAAGCACAGTGATTTTGTTTAACAAGTTGTTAGCCCGAAAGAAGTCTATATTCCGATTTGATAAATAAAGAACGCAAGCATATAGAATTTTTATATAAAGCTTAGATTTTTTTTATTTTTCTGGAGATCACTAAAATTTTTTAACTCTGTCGTCTATGCTTGGTTGTGCTTGTAAAGTGCTCATCCGCCCTTAATCTGTTCTTCTCGCAAAAGCCCTTGCTTCTATTTTGAATGTTATCAAGTGTAATGGTTGTCTTTTGTTGTGCAGCTGAGCTGAGTCGCATGATAGACACTCGCTACACCTCACCCAGTGCGGGATCGAGAGTGTTGCTGACCATATCCACCGATGCAATAACCCTCATGTCAGTGGACAATCAGAAGCCGGTACTCAAACACGAAATGAGCTCAATCTCATTCGCATCAGGTCAGCAGACTACCTCAAGAATATTAATTTTTTGTTCGTGCCGAAGAAATAGGATATTTTGCGAGAAGTCTGCTAGCTCATTGTTTGTTCGTTTTTCAGTTGCTTTTTTGCCGTTTTCTCGAATTAGATTTCTAAGTCAATTTTTTGCCGCTTTCTTGAAGCCAACTCGTAGTCTGTGCCGGAAGCCAGTTCTTGAAGGCAACTCGTAGTCTGTGCCGGAAATTTGGTCTGAAAGTTAGACATTTCACAAGTTTCAAGGTGTTGGACGATAAATTATGTGGTAGAGCAACTAGCCGAAATATGAACTTAAACTAACCATTAAGTTTCAATGGACCGAGTGAAAACATTTATTTAGATTTGTTTTTTATTTTAATCAAGCTACGATTGGATTTTTCCAAGTTTATTTAATTAATTTACCAAAAGAAGGAAAATCACGTTCTCAAATAACGAAAGTTCAATTAGATCAAAAGAAAAAAGCGATTGAAATTTCGAATTTTGAAAAAATTGTCAGTTTTCTCATTGAACTAGATTTGTTGAAAAAAGTCAATCATCGAAGATTCTTGAAATTAAAAGAGCTGAAAGGTGATATATATTTTTTGAAATTTGAAAGTTCGTTTATTAAGAGTAATGAACGTAGTGAAGACCCATATATAGGTCTTGCTGATTTTTTTGTTTTTCTTTTCAGGAAAAAGTACAAAGTTTGTTCACGCTCAATTTTGATTTTTCGCGATTTGACTTGTGATTTCTTTTTAAGGTCAGTGCATTTCTATTGTTAAAAGGAAGTCAAACTCCACTATCGAACTGCAAAATTGTTAAGGTCACGAAAAACGAGATCGACTTCTAATTTTGAAATTGGAAAATAATTATCAGACTTCCCAGCGAAATAAAAGTTATTTATTGATCCAGTTTTCTCAAATTGGGTTAATTTTAACAAAAAAAGTGTCCATCATAAATTGTTCTATAAATTCAAAGAACTTTAAGGCCAACTAATTTTTTATTCGAAACTCAAAAGTTTAAGATTTTGAAAAAAAAACAAGCCAGTTTTTTTTCAGTTTCCTTGCGTTCATTACCGTTTTCCAACTGTCAGTTGGCTATGTTTGTGTGAAAAGTCCATCTTTCTGGGTCTCCTTTAGTTGAATGACTTTACTAATATATATTCACTTTATGTGATGAGCAGTAACCTAATCGTTGCTTAACTTTTCGGCCGGTTATCAGATTACGATCGTTGTAATTTCGGTTATAATTCGGGAGGTTAACCCTGTTTTCTTAATTTTGAAGCCTAAGCCATTTTAGTCAACAATTTGAGTCTTCCATGAAACAGTGCCACTGTAAAATCTGTTAATTGAATGCTTTATGCATTGAGACGCAGTTATGACGCAGATAATTCAGATCCTGGTTTTCAGGCGGTGACGGTGAAACGAGTGAGTTCATAGGCTACGTTGCCAAAGACGCCGACAACTCGCGGGCATGTCACGTGGTGGAAGTCCCCGCCCTAGCCCCTGACGTCATAGCTACAATCGGACAAGCATTTGAACTTCGGTTTGAATTTTTTTTAGCTCGTTGAAAATATTTGATTTTAGCAATGTATTAACAATACCAAAACAACAGTCTGAAATACATGGCTTAAATTATGTGAGGTGACAATTCGTCGCAAGCGACAATTCGCGACAATATCTTAAGCGTCTCGCTGTAGCATTTCAGGAGCTTTTTTATAAATTCAGATTCGTTTTTCCATTCATGTTTCAGTAATCCATATGCTTGTACTTAAATCTCATTTCAGGTATAAGCAACATATTCAAGGAAATCCGGGCAGTGGTCTTCTAAACAACATGCCTCCAAATACAAACGGGGTTTTGAGAACAGGGCCTCAAATGATAACAAACGGTTAGTAGCAATCAAAGCTCGCTAGTTGTGGGTTGAATTCAAACGAAAATTGAGTTTTCTTTCATTCAGATTCGAAGTGGGGCGACGAAACGGCATCTCAATACTCGCAAAACAGTAACTGCATCAATCAATTAGTAGACCGTCGACTTTCGAAAGATCCTTCAATGCTTTCGAACCATCGTCAAAGTATGATCAGTCAGCGCAACTCGCAGTACATGATGCAAAATGTACAACCTCCTGGTCCTAGACAGGGATTTGAAGATAACTTTGTGCCCCAAAACCCTGCCCCTTACATAAATATGAATCAAAATTCTCATCCTCAAAATGGAATTGGGTTTAATCAGGCGATGTCCGTAAACACTGATTTGAGTTCAAACTCGGGGAATCCAAATGGATCTGTGAACTTCAGGAACAGTTTCACGCCGACGAATGGACTGGACCAAATTATGACGTCACCGAACCAACAGTTGAACCAACAGAAACAGATGCAGACATTTTACCAGTCCAGTCCTCCGGTGCCGATGCCGAGGAGAAATGCTCCTGGAGTGACATTTTCAGACAACTCACAAGCTGCTTCCAATCTAGCCGTCATTATGAACCAGTCTCACCACGTTCAGCATCCAGCGCCTGGAACTAATATCACGGACCCTGGAAATGTACCCAGAATCCCAGACCGCAAGTCTCCGAAACCGGGAGACGGAAAACTGGTGCCATCGCCACATGCGAATCTAAACATGCCAGATTTATTATCAAACCAGCAGACCAGCACAGTTGCTAATAAAGCGGGAAACCGGAGTTCAAATGCGTCATCTGCTGATGAAAATTTGATTGCCATACCTCAGACAGAAAGCGTTCTTCCACTTAATTCTCAAGTTTGGTTCCATGGCGCTATTTCACGCACGGAAAGCGAACGGAGGCTAAGGAAAGATGGCGACTTTTTGGTCCGAGAGAAGCAAGCGGCTGCTACTGATACAAAGCAATACGTTCTATCCGGGTACCAAGGAGGTGTTGTGAAGCACTTACTTTTAGTTGACCCGCATGGCCGTGTGAGAACAAAAAACAACATTTTCGAAAGTGTTGGTCATCTTATCACACATCACATGCGGAATAATATCCCAATCATAAGTTCAGACAGTCAAGTCAGATTGGGGAACCCTGTCAAGAAACCAAGTCCTCCGAGGCCTGGAATGCATGCCACTGAAATTTAATTATTGAGGAGCTGTTACACTGCTGATCATTTTGTTTCTGTCATACATTGATTGCGCAGTTTTGAATTGAAGATTGCTTCACAGATATTTGATTAGTGAATGCACACAATCTACATAAGTCTTCACTATGAAATTTTTTTGAAAAATGTTAAAACCGGGTAGGAAATCATGTGATAATCATTTGCTTAGTTTTGACATTTTTATTTGTTAGTTAGCTTCATTCTTTTGGAAACGTTTCTGTTGAGTACTTTAGTTTATAATTAAGTCTAAATTAATTTCAGTCGGTCAAAGAATTGCTGTCTTGGCTGCAGAAAGATATTTCTATTCTATTCAATATTTATATTGTTTCTATCGCCAGTACTCTGTAGAATTTGAAATTAATACGCATCAGAATATTTAAATGCGACAACGCTTTGACTTTTTTCATCGAGTTGAGGAAGCGAGACTTGCATATTTTATTGCAACAAATCCTGCAAATAACTGGTACGAAGTTATGAACAAACTGAAGGAATAGATGTAACAATTCGAGGGTCTGGATTAAAGAGGAAAACGCCACCTGTCCTCTTGAGAGCTGACGACTTATTTATTTACGTGTTTTAAGTGCCAATGACTGTTGATTGATTTTTTTTGTCATACAGTTATTCGAGAAAACGCTTTCTGTTCCGACTTCAATTTTTGAAATAACTTTCTCAGCGGAGCTCTATCTAAATTCACTCTTTGATAGCAGACGTAGAAATTCCGTGAAAAAATTTTTAAGCTGAACTCTGAATTTAGTTTTCAAGTTGATTAAGAGTCGATGAACGTAGTATTATATAGGTTGCGATGATGTCTTCAGAGGAAAAAGTTTTTAATCGTTCAGTCTTTTTTTTCAAAGTTCAGTTCGATACTTCTATTGAAAAGAAAGCAAACTCCACTATCAAGCAGCAAAAGTTTGAAGGCAAAAAAAAACGTGATCGATTTCTAATTTCGAAAGTGGATTTTAATTTTAAAATTTCTTAGCAGAATAAAAACAAGATCTATTGATCCAGTTACGTTAATTTATCAACAAATAAAAGAGCTTCAAGTCATGTTTTTCTTATTTGAAAGAATGATTTTTCTTACTTGCAGTATTTTTCGAAAAGGAAGTCAGTTTCTTTGTTTCATTGCGTTCATTAACTCTTTTCCTAATTTTTATTGGCGTTGTTCTTCGTGTTTTCTATTAATTAAAGTAAATTCTCAACCAGGTCTTATGTCGTTAAAAACAACTTAATTTCTCCAAATTAACTTCAAGAGCATTTGCAAAATGTACCACAAATTACGCTCTCCCATAAGGAAAGTGAACTTGGCGTGAATGAGTTCCGGTTTATTAAATAAGTTTCGCTGCGGAATAAAAATTTTAATTATTGATCCAGTTTTCTCAAAATGTGTTAATTTAATCCAAAAAGCACTGGTAATCAATTGTTCGTAAAATTCAATGAGCTTTAAGGGAAAATGTAAATCAAAATTGTTCCCCCAAAGCTCTTTGAATTTTACGAACAATTGATGACCAGTGCTTTTTGGATTATATATGGATATTATATTATATTTACACAAAAAAGCTTGTGTTATAGTATTAACTCTTTTTTTCCAACCTACATCGCAATTGTTATTGCGACGCAAATATTGTTGCGAAAAAATTTGTTCATTTTGATCAATAACCAGCTATTAAGTACAGGCAATGCTAAAGATATTAACACAGACTATTATATTACAAATAGCACTTTAGCTTCATGGATTTGTAGCTTAGAGGTAGGGAAGAAGACCCACAACAAAATAAGAACGTTCGAACCTGGGCAGGGTCGGATTTTTTAATGAAATTTTTCGAATACTAGCTAAAATGCGTCCGCTTTATAAATTGAGGCATGTTATTTTGTAAATTTCCAAGTTGACTGATGCTGCTAATGCGTCTTAATTGGCTTGCGTCACTTAGCAATTGTAGACTCATAATTGGCGTGCATCTCTTTAGAAATTTTGTAAACTCAAAGTTTTACTCATTCAGTTTTCCCCAGTAGCGTTATTGGTCATATTTTTGTTTGTGTATGCGAAGTGAATTTTGAAGTTTTTTCAAACAATTTTTCAGTTTTTATTTGTCTTGCGTTCCTTTACTCTTTTCCTACTGTCAGTGCTCTGTGTAACAAAAAATGCTATTCGCATTGGATTCAATAGCTTAAACAGAGTTTTTTGGAATGCTGCTTTATTGAAAACGAGAAAAAAAATTAGAACAAGAACTTTTTGATTGAACAAATTTCACTTTTTCCTTTTTTTAAGAGTCAGTTAAGATCGCATCACTCTGTATTAATCTTCACTGTCATTATATACTTACTTGCATTTTTAACATTTGTTAATTAAACAAATTAACCAATAAATTATTAGGCGATAAAAAAAGGTGCCCAATTGTTGGACGTAGAATACATTCGGTTGGTTGGTGATAGAGAAAAATGCTACATCAGTTAGCAAAAAAAACAATCTCCCATGTTTAAGCATAATAATTTTGCTTTTTTAACGAACGAATTTTTTCATGTTTAAGCTATATCATATATTGCAACGCTTAAGACAATTTTTCAATTAGTGTTTCGCAAGGTCATTAATTTTTCAGAATTTTTTTCGAGGCCATATTAAGTCTGTCTGTCTGTATACCTGCCTAATTTGATTGTCTGTCTACCCTTCGTCTAATTTTTTAACTTTCATCTATAATCTATCTATTAACTTTTATTAAATATTTAAATTCGGTCTTCACTATCTCGCCAAGTTTAAGCTTTTTCAATGTATTATTTTTGCATGTTTAACAAATGAATTTTTTCACGTTTAAGTTATCGTATATTGCAATGGTTCAGTTTTTTTTTCGATGTTCCAGTTTGATTTCAGTGGATCGCGCCCAGCCAGATCCAGGTTTTGCGATTCTGGCCTCCATATATGAATAACCAAATCCTTTTGGTTAAACGAGATAGGCAATTTTCGAGGTTTTTCAAAAAATTTCTTGAAAAATGTTTAAAAATTTCTCAATTTTTGAAATTCTCACCCAGTAGTTGGGTGCTGTCAGGGTTCTCTCAGGGGTTGCGAATCTTGCCTCCAATTCTCACTTCTCAAATCCTTGTAGTTTTCGAGATAGGACGTTTTTTGTGATTATTTCAAAGAAATTTAGATAAAAATTCCAAAACGTTGAAGATCTCAATCCTGTTGTTGGTTATTGTAAGGGTATTCTCAGGGGGTTGCCAATCTTTTCTTTGATTATGGCTGCTCAAATCCCTGTAGTTTTTGAGATATGACGTTTTTTTGATTTTTTTCGAAAATTTTCAGAAAATTTAGATGAACAAAGTTTCACAAAATTTGAAATTGCCATCTCAGTAGTGAGGCTGTCAGGGTAATCTCAGAACTTGTGAATTTCGTTGCCAAAGATGACTGGTCAAATCCTTGTAGTTTTCGAGATATGACGTTTTTTATGATTTTCACCGAGATTTTCAAAAAAACTTAAGTTAAGAAATTTCAAAATTTTGAAGATCTCAATCGTGTTATTGGAATCTTTGGGGGTACTCTCAGGGGGTTGCGAAACTTGCCTCTGATTAGGACTGCTCAAAATCTTGCAGTTTTCCAGATATGACGTTTTTTGTGATTTTTCTAAAAAATTAATTTTTTTTCTTCAAATTTTGAAATTCCGAAACTGTAGTTGGGGAACTGTCAGAGTAATCTCAGGGTTTGCAAATTCTGCCTCAAATTAAGAAGGCCCAATTCATTTTGGCTTAAGAGATAAGACGATTTTTGTGATTTGTTTGGAAATTTTCAGAAACCTCAAATTCAAAAAGAAAATAATTCGTTAAATTGAAATTCCCAACCCTGTAGTTGTATACTTTCAAAGATTGCGAATATTGCCATCAAAAAAGACTTAATGTTGGTAGTTTTTGAAATGTGAATTTTTTCTGGTTTCCAAAAAAATACTTCTTTTAGAAAACTTAAGTTTCTCAAAATTTGATTTTCCCAACGTAGTTGGGTACTGTAAGTGTGCTCTCAGGAGGTGCAAATCTTGCGTCCAAATGCGACTGCTCAATTGCTTTCAGTTTCCCAGATGGGACGTTTCTTAGTTCATTTTAAATTTTTTGAAGAACTTATATAAAAATTCACAAAGTTTTATGGTTCTTCAAAATTTGTATAAAAAACTTGAATAAAAAACGTTGCAAAATTTTTAATTACGAACCTTGTAATTGGGTGCTGTCAGAGTACACTCAAAGAATAGTTTTTTGAGTTGTTGAAAATTCGAAGCACCGGAGGTGCGGTACACGCTACTAAAGAATTGATTTTTTTGTAACAGTAATTTTGGTATAATGAGGAGACAAAAATGTTTTTTTTTTAATAAAAAGTTTTGAAATAAGGAGCAATTTTTTTCTATAATTGCTAACGTAGGATGTTTTGCCGAAACGTTCGATGCCATTTTCTGCTGACAGTGATTCTTCAAGAGTTAAATTAGTTAATCAAAATATATCCTTGCTGACACGCAACAACCCTAATGCAAAAACACAGCTTTGTATTTCGGTAAAATAAAGCAAATGCACAGGTTTGGAGACGAGTTGAAGTGATGTACTCCCGCTAAAAAACTTGAGCTCCTTGGTAATAAACTATGACGAACCTCATATTTTTGTTGAAACGTTATCGCAGAAACCATATCTTGTTCGAAGTGGAAATTAGCTTAGTTTTTTCCGATTGAATGTTTTTTTTTCGACAAATTTATTCAATCTTAATCTAGCAAACAGTATCAAAAAGAGGAGGGGGTTTTGCTATCAGACGATAAAAAGTGGAAATGAACTTGATCGATAAGACTTGCACAAATAAAAGTCAAATACTGACAACGAAACCCAATACGGTATAACGTCTATGTACAAACCGCCAAGAATAAAAATGAAAAATCTGTTAATATTTTAATGACACAACTGTTTCATCTTCGTTTAGAGATCTGAATAGAGATATTTCAGAGTTCTAAACAAGAACAGAAATTGATTGATCAAAAGAAATTTTTGTATTTTAACTTGTGTCCATAAAACGAGTATACAGGATTAGCTGATTTAGTATTGCTGCTTTTGATTTTGTTTTCACAAAATTTGATTGCAGCTTCACAAAATCAGAAAAAAACGAAGTCTGATCACTGTTTTTTTTTGTTGAGCTGAACTCAGAAGCAATATGGGATGCAACTGAAAAGGTTGCCTTAAAGTGAAGAAACTGGATTTTATTGAAAGACCATAAAAATAAATTGAATTTAATTGGGATCTATACACACAATTGATGAAATTTTGATTGAGTTTCAAATTTTAAATGCAGAACATAGCTTGATTTTTTTTTGTATTTGAACTTCAATTACTTGATTCGAACATTAAGTACTAATTTAGATACTTTAAACCATTCAAACAAAATCAAAAAATTTTGAAGTGTACGGATTGATAATTGAGAGAAAAATCCTTGCACCCCTAAAAGACCATCAAAACGCATAAATTTTTAAAACCTATTCAAAGAAGAAAAATGATCACTATGCCAATGTCATTTAAAATGAGAAATCACAAAACTACAAATCCAACTTATTTGAAAATTCAAAAACTCTCAATCATTATGTCAATATATTTTTAAAAAAGACATCACAAAAGTACAAAAAACAATTTTTTTTTGCTTTTGAAATTTGAGCAAAGGGTTACAGCAGACAAAATGCAATAACTGCTGATTATCTGAAGGATTTTTCGTGCCAATTGGGCCAAATCTGGCTTAAATTTGAACTCTCAGATTCAATATTTCTGCTTATTTAAAAATAGTTCGGAAGTATTTAATGAATTATTGAAATTTTTGAACAAATCAAACCAAAATTAATACGGAACCTTATATAGTTTTTAAAGAGAAGTAATCCTGTAGTTTTGCAGTTTTTATTGAAATTTTTAATGAAGTTGCGAGCTTAACCTATTGAAAATGATCAAAAGTTGTTAAATTAGTCCGTTAAAACAAAGGATGTAATCGATTAGTGTGTAGCAATTACCGACCAGTTTCTCTTTTTTCAATTTTCGTTAAACTTCAAAAAACTCTTGATGAAGTGTATTACTAAAAGATTCATTAACTGTCAAGCAATTTGATGTAATACTGGATCTCTTAGAAAATATTTTGATGGGCAAACACATGAAAAAAATCGGTGTAATGTATGCTTTTAGATGTCCAACGGCCTCGCTACACTTCATTGTTCCGTTTTCCTTGCAAAATGCCAAACATATAGGTTAAGGTGCCGTGCTCTCTCTCTCTCTCTCTCTCTCTCTCCCGAAATCTCTCTAATGAAAAAAAAATGTTCGCCACGACGGTGCTTCATCGGACATGAAGACTGTGGAATCTAGTCTTCCATAAGGTTCAGTGATTGATCCAATCCTTTTCCTGCTTCTTATATATGATCTTCCTGAAGCCGCACAGAACTGAAATAATTTGGCTCGCTCATGATACAAATTTGCATGGACATTTAAACAATGTATGTAATATAGAAAGTGGTCTTACTTGTGAAATATCTAAATGGGTTGCAGCGAATAAAATGACAGTCAATACAGTAAAATTTCAATTTATGGCAAAGCGGACAAAAATTTCCGCAAACCAGTTGAACAACCATTTTCTGGAATTAAGCGAAATTTCAAATACTGGGTGTAAATAATAATCAAAAACTTAATATTTCGGAAAATAAGGTTCTAATAGGTTTCTAAATGAAAGTAGCTCAAAAAATTTTTACGCATTTTGTTCAACCCAAATACCATTAGGCTTTTTTAATATATGGCACTGTAAATAAAGCCATGTAAATCTATCTATACCATAATTAATTGGCGTTTCACTTGACACATGTTTAAGAAGTCCTGATGTTGACAGGTTAATTTTTCGACACTTTTGCAAAATTTAATGCATTTTATTGAATTCAACTTATGTTCTCAAGGTCATCTGTTTTTTTTTTAGTTTTTAAAGAAGATGTCATGAAATTGTCAACCCTATCGTGGAGTGCTCTCATGGTACACATGGTGTTGCATCTCTGCCCTCCACATATGACTGCTCAAATTCTTTTTGTTTTCGAGGATGTCTTTTTTAATGATTTTTTTTTTCAAAAACTCAGATATGAAAAACTTACATTGTGGTGTGGAGGTCCCAGGGTACACTATGGGGTGGCAACTCTGCCCTCTAAATAAACTTATCAAATTGCTTTTTTTTTTCAAAAACTCAGATATGAAAAACTTACACTATGGTGGGGAGGTCCCAGGGTACACTATGGGGTTGCAACTCCGCCCTCTAAATAAACTTTTCAAATTGCTCAAATTGTTCTAGTTTTTGACTGCTCAAATTCTTTTGAACGACTGCTCAGATTCTTTTTCCTTTCGAGATATGGCTTTTAAAGATTTTTTCTCTTTTTTTTCAAAAACTCAGATATGAAAAGCTTGCACTATGGTGGGGATGTCCCAGGATACACAATGGGGTTGCAACTCCGCCCTCTAAATAAACTTTTCAAATTGCTTTTTTTTTCAAAAACTCAGATTTGAAAAACATACACTATGGTGGGGAGGTCCCAGGGTACACTATGGGGTTACAATTCCGACCTCTAAAAAAACTCAGATATGAAAACTTACACTATGGTGGGGAGGTCCCAGGGTACACTATGGGGTTGCAACTCCGCCCTCTAAATAAACTTTTCAAATTGCTTTGGCCTTCAAGGTTTGGTGGTTTTAATATGGTGATGTGCTTTCAAGGTAATCTCTGGGATTGCAAATACGGGCCTCCAAATATGACTGATGTAATCCTCTTAATAGCCGAGATATGGCGTGTTTTATATTTTTTATTTTTTTATGGCGCTGTTAAGGAACTCGTAGAGGTCGCAAGTTTTAATTATTTTTTATAAGTTTCCAGTAAAATAAAGATTTTTTTATCAATTAAAAATCTGATTGATGTCAGAGCTTTTGATACACGTTATGTTAAATTTTTTGAGAATTAAACTATGCAACGTTCTGTTTGATTTTGACAAAGGTGTTGTCAAAATTTTTCTAATTGAATGAATCCGAATGAAGTAAGTAATTGCACAATTTATGAGATTACTATATTGTGGATTCAAAACTTGTATTTTTTGGAAGACTATTTTTTTGATCGCTTGCTTAACTTGAACCACAGCTTACACTAGAACAACTTGTTATGAATCATTCATTTGTTGAAAAACAAATTCATTTTGAGCATTGCATTGATATCTTTTTTTGGCCTTTTTAAAGTAATCAGATAGTCTATTTTCAAAGTTTCTTATTTCTAAGTATCAAAATGTGAAATTTTTCACAATCAATTGAGTTTTGACAAACGTATGATTCTCAAGAATTGGAAAGCTCGTCTGCGGTACCTTAAACAGGCTGGATAGCCTTCAGTATCCGCTCAAGCTGGTGCTCTTCAAATGCTGAACTATACTTTGCACACATTTTTGTAGCGCGCTCAGCTTGAAAACAAATTTATTATGGTTCATTATTATATTTTCGTTGCTGACCCTGATGCTGTCAATACCTCTGACGCAGGCCGGTCATTCTTTGCGCCGCTAAACCTATTTCATCCTTTCTCAATAAAGAAGCTGGTTGCTCATGGACAATGCTGATTGTTTTATTAGTTGAGGCTAAGTCAGATTGATATTTCACGGTTTTAAAAATCCCAAGTGTTTTATTTAACACGCTGATTGATCAAAGAGCTCGTAGGTTACTCTCTGATAAAAGATAAATCTTAAATGTGAAGTAAGATTAGCTGATAATCTTGTATATGTTTAAGCTTTGTTGTTGTTTTGACCCTGGAAGCGTGTAATTTGCTCGTCTTAGTTCCTATTAACCGCTCGTTAAAGTAAAATAAATCCAGCTATGTATTGTGTTGTTTTTCAGATTTGCTGTTGTTTTGGCCCTGCAGTGCCGCCTGTGATTGACAGAATGGTGAGTTTGACGACGAAGTTGGTGGAGACAAGCAGACAGACATTTCTCTGTGGCGTCAGTCTGTGCTATGCCATCGCTTTCATATCCTACTACGTGCAGGCAGGTAGCTTTTTGTAGTGTCAATGAGAAGCTATTCTAGTTTAAGTTGCATTTGGTCTGGAAACAACCTGCTCAATTTAATGTCAGTAAGCAGTAGGGAAATTTGATCCTAAGTACTGAATGTTTTACTATACTGAATAGTAAATTTTATATAATGTTACTGATTTTTTTTTCATTATCAATAACAATTATTTTTGAATGATATTTAGATTCCTGGACTCTTTGGGCCCAATGGAATCTTGCCAGCTCACCTTTATATGAACAGACACAGAGAGTCGTCTGCTACCTCTTCGGCTACGACCAACTTGGAAAGATTCATCTCCAACCCAAACATGCTCTATCTTTTGAGAGAGGCAGGCCTCAGTGTCGAAGAAGGTACTTTGCTTTATTATCGATTGATGTAGTAATGAAGAATTTTAAACCAGTCTTGATGATTTTGTTTGCTTGTTTTTTTCAGGAAAAAGTCTTGAAATTTTTCTGAAGTTTGAATTTTTTAAGTTCTGTTCTTTTCTTCAATTTTATGAAATTCAAAGAGCTTCAAGGCCATCTATTTTTTAATTGAAGTTGAAGTTTTCAAATAACAAGTCATTTTTTTCCTGTTTTCTTGCGTTTATTGAATATTTTCCAACTGTATTATGGCCATGTTTCTGGTTTCAGGTTAAAACCATTTGACTTTACTTTTAAAAAAAGAAAACAATTGATAAACATGTTATTTGCTTGCGATTAGCAATCGTTATCAAATCGTAATATAGTCTTTTTTTGAGCTAACAACTAGTTTAACAGAATCAAATGAATCACATATTATGCTGCTATGCTGCTGACATGCTTAATTTCTTAAAAATTCAAACTTAACTACTGAGTTCTAAATGCTACAGGTATATGCTATTTCTAGAAATCAAACCATTGGATGTATAATTGTAGTTTCGTTATTTTTCTCTGCTGCTGTTTTTCTGTCATCATGTTGTCGACTTAAGCCCTGTCGGCTTAATTTCCAAATTCTGTAGTCCTCTTTGCATATGCTACTTATATAGCTATCATCAGGAATCCTATATTGGCGCTTCATGCTATTTTTCCAATGTATTTTTTCGGCTGCTTTTTAGCGTCTTGGTTTTTTTAATTATTTCGGAATATTTACCCATTTTTACCTCGGAATGCCAGTTAGTATTTTTGAGATCGATAAGACTCCTGAACCAGTTTGTGAATGCTCAAAATTAACCCTACATGGACTCCTTTGAAAAACTTTCATAAAATAAGCACGAAAAATATCCATATATTTTTCATTTTCCCTTCCTTCAATTTTAACATCGTTCAAAATTCAGTTTTCTAATTTTTTAGCGCCGTGTTACTTTGTTCTTATAATTGTTGTATCGTAATTGGTGCGAAGTTCAGCTTCGCATCTGTGTTGATTCCTGCGTAAGTTTTGGATTGCTTTTGATTTGCTGTATTTGCATTTTTTTAAATATGATTGGCCAATAAACAGAATTGAAGAATTCTTTTTGAGTTTTGCATGAGTGTGGGGTTGCGTTCCATGGAAGTCATTCGAAATTGATGTTGCAAATAAAACATAGCAAAGTAATTCAACTTCAAAAAGGTAGTGTATTAAGTTTTCTGAGGTAAGTTTTCTGAGTTGAGTAACAATTTTCGAGCAAGTCTGTTGACGACGTTCAAATTAAAATAGCAAAAATTCTTATTTTTACAGGTAAAAGAACGAAACTATTTTTGTTTATATTGATCCTGTTGACTTTTTAAATTTTGTATCAGCAAAAATTCTTGAAGTTTGTTCTCACTCAAGTGAAATTTTTCCTGGTTTGACTTATGTTTTCTTGTTAAATGCATTCCCTTTCCTTTGTTGAAGTGAAGGCAAACTGTGTTGAAAAGCAAAAGTGTAAGTCTAAAGGTAACGATTTCTAGTTTCGAAAGGACTTAAATTTTCTCCGCGGAATCAAAAATTACATATTGATCCAGTTTGCTTTAAATGGGATCAATCAGTAACTTATGTTGAATTTTAAAGAGCTTTAACGTGATTTTTTTTGTCTGCGAGATTTTCGAGATTCGATTAAAGTTCACATAGCTCACCAATACAAGTGCTCATTTGGTGGCGCTTTTGCTATGATAGGATCTGTAGCATTGGACATTTTCTAGCATGTGTTCTCTGCTTTTTTTGTGGCTACTGTTTGCCGATTGTTAATTTTCCTTGGTGAAGAGGCAAGGACTTGAGACTGGAAATCTCGAGGTCACAGGTTCGGTTTTTACAGATCGCAACATTTTTTTGGATTTCTAGGCTTATTTCTACTATTTCAATTTGTACAGGGTGATCAAAAAATTTAAAACATTTTTGAAAAAACTGTCATTTTTAACTGAATTGACGCATAAAAATTTAACACATTATAGAAGAAATGTCGAAATGATTCCCGCCAATTTCTTGATACTTTATGCGTTCGCGGACTGAAGCTGTAGCTGATGAAATTTAATCCTGGGTGAACATACGACAGAAATTTTCATCACTTGATTGGTTCGGTAGTGATTCGGGATTTTCGCAATAAATTGAAGCGCAACTCTTGCCCCAGAACCAGTAATCTAGTGAATTCAGGTCAGGACTTTAGGCATGCCAACAGAATGACGACTGATAATGCGGTCATAAAACCGTCTGTAGATTCTGCAATACTGCAGGGGTAATATGGCATGTTGCGCCGTCTTGTTGGAACCAACTTCTCCTGATACCTCGGCGGTGTCTATAAAGGTGCTTCCGACTGTCAGTGGTCTACCGTTCATTATTTTCCTTTTGCCCTGATTTTGCGTTTCTTCGAAATCACGAAGGTTGAAACGCGACCAAATACACTAATTTTTGCTGTATGACTCTGGATTTAGAACCCACCTTGTCGCGAGCTCGTCGATTACTGGCAGAAAGGCAGTGAAAACATTTAGTGTCACGAACTCACACAACTTTTTAAAAATTGTGTTTCAAGCCATTTCTGGCCTCTAATTTTCCAACTGATATTTGAACATTCGCAACCCTCAGTAAAATGTTACTTCGCTCAAATTAAAACACGTGGCCCGATGCTACAAGAATCGGCTTGTTTGATCACGACATGGTAAACTCAAATAAAAACTATTACGACTGGTGCCTAGGAAAGGCTCAAGTGTCTTACATGTTGGCCGCTTAGTATTTTTTGTAGAATGATTTGTAGTAGTTGTAATGATTCTAATCGCGGCTAAACAGTTAGTATGATGGACCATTTAAATGGCATATTAAAGGCATTAAATTAGTTTGCGAGAAGTTTAGTTATTTTTAATTTGTGATTCATAACGCTAAAAGGAGGTTTCACCGGTGATTTTTCAAATACGTAGCTGTATTTCAGTTCAGTTCGACATACAATAGGTTGTTCTCGTTTTTTTCATTTTTTTGTGATTTAGGTATGGTATTCAGTTGTCTCTTGGGAACGATTTTCGCCCTCTTCTCTTTCTCCTCTCGCATCTCGAGGGGCATGATAGTGTATGGCTCCATGTGGTTTCTCTATTTCTCCCTAGTCTATGCAGGACAGACGTTCCTGTCGTTCCAGTGGGACATACTCCTGTTGGAAACTGGCTTCCTCGCCATCGTTATAGCCCCACTCAACTTCCCTAATAGGTTAGTTTTATCAATATACACAATGAAGGATTTCAATTGATGGTTTATTGTACTAACTCAGTTATGGCAACGTTCTAGAGTCCCCCATAGAGTCCGTAGAGCCAGGAATATGCCACCCAAAACATCCTGCCTTAAGTACTACTTGACTGGCTAACGTGGCGAAATTCGTTTTTGACTGGCTAATCCATTAGTTTTGTCTTGGGTTAATTTTTGAATGTTCTTTTTCTAGAATTTCTCCTTTGCCCGGAAAGCGGAATTATTTCGTTAGTGATTCTAAGAAGCTGGAAAACTCACCTTGCTTCACCTAAAAAGGCAGATGAATTTTTTTTGAAAGGTTCACTTCGCAGAAACATGGGTTATTAACTTATTGCAATATTTCTCATGCAATTTTTCCTGATATTGGCTGCCTAAATGCATTTTAGAAATAGAGTTGTTCAAATGCACCCAAATTTCTGTTGACACAATTTTAGTTGCTTCAGTTGATATTGAACTGTTGAAATGAGATGATATGATTCTTGGGCTGTTCACCTTTCTTAACTGATGGTCCAATTTATGTTTTGATTTTTGATACAATCAATTGCACCGCAATTATTATGCAGATATCTCATATGGCCCAACACTTGGATAGCCGAAAAGTCTTCGTTAACTAGCAAAGAACACAAACACTGGATCATTTTCAAGTCGTTCTACTGCGTTTACTTTCGGAGCGATTAGCGCGAGTGAATCTTTGTTCGCCTTGTTTAGCGACAAAGTTCTTTCGGCTAGCCGATAACAAAGTTCTTTCGACTATCGGAACATTTGTAAAGGTAACAAGTCATGGTACACTACACATATTTACTCAGACCTTGTTGGGTTATTTCAGTACTGTGTTACGAGTGAAGAGACACGACGAGGTAGTGATGTTCTTGGTGAAGTTCCTTCTCTTCAAACTCATGTTCATGTCTGGGGTAGTCAAGCTCAGTAGTCTATGCCCCACCTGGTAAGTGGTAAGAATAATTATACGAAACTTGCCCTAACATATCGGTTGCGGAAGTTCGAAACTAAATGCTGTGGAGCATATCTAGTTGTCATCATTGTGTCCCCTTATTTGTTATGATAGCAAAGTGTGCAACTGTGAGGCTTAAGCAGTGAGCATTCGATTTGCTGTATAGGCAGTGTAGTACTTGCTGGGATAGGCAATGAACCGTTGATGTCCATTTAATTAAACAATTGAAGGATCAACTTAATAGTCTCCGCTCGGTGGTATCTAATGAAGAATCTCCACCCCTCTAAGTGAAACCATTAAATTAGATCTAGAGATTTCTATTGAGATTTTTCTATTGAGATTGAGATTTGAATTTTGCTGCGTTCCGATTGGTTGAAATTTTGACTAACTTAATGTACCTAATAATCCCCCTCCCTTTCTTGAAGGGGGTATTGTTAGGTAGATTCCATTTGAAATCGATGTAAACTTTCATTTGAATTTTAATTTAAACAGAAAAATTAAGCAAAGAAAAATTCAAAGAAGAATTGATATAGGTTTGATTTGATCACACCCGCGAGAGCAAGTGTCTTGTAATCGGGAACTAGAATTTTTTCCCCGTAAACAACTTTTCTGACAAGAAATTGAATTTGCTTTGTTATTGAACCTGAACAACTTCCAGGTTCCTTCCCACTTGGCCTGAAGGTGGCGAACGCGGTCGGTTTTGCACCTAGGGTCTTAAGTTCGAGTCTCGACAGGACCTTGTTTTTTCAGAATGTATAAAATTGACAATTTTTGTCCGGTAAAATTTTTTTTCGTTGGACTTTCGTTTGTCTGCTCAAGTTCTGTGGGCTTAAGTGCCACACCTTCTTGTGCTGCAAGCAAGTATCGTGGAAGTTGCTGCAAATGTCGTTTATAAAAAGGTATTCGTCCCAGTTTCTTTCGATTCATTTTCCGTGTTTTAGATTTTTTTTTATCTGGCAGGGTTTTATTGGTGTACTTTTTAAAGCTCGGCTTCTGTTACAATGTAAACACTTTTTACAGTTTTAAAAAATGTTAACAAATTTTTAAATTTATCATGTGTGATTTTGAGTTTTTTCTTTTTTTTTAATATTCAAACAGTTTCAGTTTGTTGTGTCGATTTAGTCAACTTAATTTGCGTAGTTTTGAGGGCAAAAAATATCCGTTTTGGAATTATGTGTTTCAGTGTGGGTGGGTCTTAAAAACTTTTAAATTTTATGAACTTTTTATGACAAGTTTTGTTTTCGGCTCAACAAGTTTATCGCCTTTGTTGCGTCTCGGTAAATAACTGCTATTTTTAAGGTCTGTTTATGAACTTATCCGATAAAACTATGAAGTTTTTGTAGTTGTAATTTTTCAAATTTTTTTTCAAGGAATTTTTTCCAACTTAATTTTTCATAATTTTTTGTCTTCTGTCTGTTTTTTCATTCTCTATTTTGTAGCGCAATGTGTGTTTTGCATCGCAAGTGTTGCGAAGCTCCTCTTCGCCACTGTGTAAGAATTTGCGTGAAATGATTTCAGGAATGATTTAAATTTGCTTTCATTTCTATGTCAGATGCCAAGATTTTAGTCAAAATTTTAATGCTCAGCTTTTCAAGACTAATGCTCAGTTTATATTTTACGACTCAAATGAATTAACACGTACTTACAAGCCTTCAAGACTTAGTTTGTTCAAATTTTATTTTAAAAGTGGGGAAGTTTTGGATTGGTTAAAATTGCGTAGGGTAACTTTGTGGTCGGTGTCCCTCCCCCCACCACCCTTTCAGTCGAGCGCACGCAGTGAGCGAGTACATTTCGTTTTAGCGAGCAACCGCTAGTTTTTAACATTATGCCCTCGGCCCTGAAAATGACGATCTCGCAAAAAAAATCGCTATCTTACCTTGGGTTTTTTAAATTGTAACTTGCTTCCCAAGCTAGAGAAAAGACAAAATTGGAAGTTAACTTTTATACCTTATTCGATCAGTTGTTTTGAATAAGAATAAATTTGTATCCCTACATAATTTATATCTCATCTTATTTTCACTGTCATAAAGTTCACCTGCATATAAACGTTTTAGTTCTTGGGTTTGAGCTCAGCTTGTTCATGATTGACATGAGTAGCGCGTATTTAGTTCGTTTTTATGAGCACATGCAGTTAACAAAAGCGAATTGTTTTTGACTTATCGTTCGGTTGCTGAGTTGGTAAAAAGAGTGTCTAGAACCTGGCATGTAATCGGCTCGTCAATGAGTTTTTGAATGAAGCATTTTCAAATAATGTATTATGAAGTTAGGAAATAATGTTAGGAAGTTTTTTAGTTTTGATTTTGTTTTAGGTGGGACCTGACTGCACTTACTTACCACTACGAGACACAGTGTATCCCCACTCCTATAGCCTGGTTCGCACACAGTATCATTCCCTTCTGGTTCCACAAACTATCAGTCGTGGCTGTATACGTAATCGAAATCGTCCTGCCTTTCTACCTATTCTCACCAATCAAGGCAAGATGCATTTTTTAATTAAAGCAATATTAGAAAAAACTATCAAGAAACAGCGCCAGAAAAATACATTTAAAAAATAAGCAGCTGTTTACCATTGCGTACTGGTGGAAAATTTGTGTTTGCAGTTTTTCGTGGAAGAGAGGGTTAATGGGGTAACCAAAATATCGATGAACTATCAAGTTTTTTGGGGCCAATTTTTATACTTGGCGAAACAAAGTGAAGGATTTATTTGATTGATTTCAAAAGGGGCAGAACATTTTGTGTTGCGTATTTCATAACTTCTCGTTTTTCAGGCCCACAGAAAACTTTCAATTTACTCGATAATATTCTTGATGGTTGTCATCATTCTGAGTGGAAATTACAATTTCTTCAACTTACTTACTATTGTTCTCTGTCTCGGAAGCCTCGAAGACTGTGATTATTTCACACTTTTTCAAAGCTACGAAAATCATCATTCAGACGAAAAAGTCAAGTCTAACTGTCCTCTGATTGGGAGATTGCTCGAACGAGTGTTACGTTGGGTAATGGATATTGGCATTATGTACTGGATCGTCCGATTATTCAAGCTAAAGTTCAACTATTCCTCTTTCTCAATAGATTCTTCAGTTAACTTCACTCATGAGCAGTTCCAATCTTTTGTGAATGCCGCTGTTACGTGTGCAATTTTTTTGGCCTCTATATCTCTTGTTTGGATTGTGGTCAAGAACTGTGTCTGTGCCTTAAAGGATGAGACGGGAATTATGAACAAACTGTGGTCGTTTTCTCAAACATTCACTTTTGGGTATGTAGATTTTTGGCGATTTAGGTAAACAAACTACAAATTAATGTTACTTATGTTGATTAACCTTGCGATAAGCAAAAGTATTGCAATCGGGTACTAGACTTTTTTCCCTTAAACAACTTTGTCCACAGAACTCATCTGGACTCGTGGTACTTTGGCTCATAATGAATTCAAATGTCTGTTTCTCCTGCAGACTTAGCCTCGAGGTGACGAATACGCCTGGGACGCCACAGGTCTCGGGCTCGAAACTGACTTGTTTGTTTTTAAACGGTAAATATTCCGGCTCAAATCAATTTGGCCTATTATTTGTCTGCTTTTGTTTCGTCGGCTTAGTTGCCAGATCTGAGAATCGTTTTTTTTTGCCGTAAACAATTTTCAATTTAATTGCTGTAAGTGTTTTAGCATTTTAAAAATCCGGCGGAAGCTAAGTTTGTTTGTAATACTGGTTGTAATTTTACCAACTCGATTTGCCAAAATGTCTTTGTTTTATTTTTGTCTTTTTATAGGGTTAATAAGTTTCGGCTTAATTTATATCGACCTTGTGGCCTCTTATTGCGTTGTTAGGGGATCGGTAAAAGTTTTGCGTGTTCTCTGAGGAGAAAAGAGACATACAATTTTTTTATTAGCTTAGATTTTTTGTTTTTTTATTAGCTTAGATTTTTTTTGATTTTTTTTCGGCAGGAAAGGTTTCTGCTCAGTTATTTTCGGTTTCGTTACCTCATGATGATCCAACTGTAAACGTAAAGATGATCCAACTGCTTGAGACCGCTCTATTGACAATTTTTTTTTGACAAAAACCATTTTTTCTCATATTTTTCCGTTTGATTTAAATCAAATTTGTATCACAAGTTGTGCGAAGCTCAGCGTCGCCTCTGTGTGAATTTTGCAAAATTGCACCCTGGTAAAATCAACATATAACCGAGTTTGAGGCTGCTATTCTGTTTATGATAGGTTTATTGCCACTCTTCTGCTGACGATGTCGTTTGTTCCGATTATGCAGCTGACAGATCGCGAGACGGAGCATCTTGTGCCGGAGTTCGCTGAATCCGCCTACTTCCGACTGCAAGAATTCAGAGTGTCGAACAGCTATGGACTGTTCAGACGCATGACTGGTATTCTTGGACGACCAGAAATAGTTTTGGAAGGTTCGATAATATCTTGAAAGACTTATTTTCTGAACGCTGAGCTCATCTTTTCAGAGATTTTTGAAAATGAAAACATTTTCAAATTACTTTATGAAATCAGCAGTAACCTTTTGCTAGGCAAGGTGCACAGAAAGTTGAAACCGCTGTAATCGATGACAAAAATGTTAGAGAAAAAGTTATTTTATTCGAAAGCTTCATGATCGGTGTTGTGAATATCCGCTCATTTCATTTTTTTCGGGGAAAAAATCTAAAATCTGTTCATGTTCTTTTATTAAGAGTCGATGAATGTAGTTCAAACTCTTATAAAGGTCTTGTTGTATTATTTTGTTCTTTCGTCAGGAAAAGTCTAGAAATTTTTTCAGGCTCGATTTACTTTTTGGCGGTTTCGTTAGACTTTTGATTTCTTTTTAAGTTCAGTTCCTTTCCTTTGCTAACGGAATGCTAACTCCACTAGCGAATAGCAGAAGTGTAAAGCTCACAAAATTGTGGTCGACTTCTTTTTTCATAAACAGACTTTAATTTTCTGAATTTCCGACGGAAAAAAAATAATCCTTTTGATTTGAGAGTCGATGAATGTACTTGAGACTCTTATAAAGGTCCTGGTGATTTTTTTTCAGGAAAAGTCAAATTTTTTTTACCTTCAAATTTACTTTTTCGCAAATTAAACATTTACATATTGATCCAGCTTTCTCAAATTGGTTTAAACTTATCAAAAAAGTCAATCATAAATTGTTCTAGAAAATTAAAGAGCTTAAAGGGCATCTATTTTTTTCTTTTAAAATCGAAAGTTAAGATTGTTTTCAAAAACAAGTCAATATTTTTTTTCTATTTACTTGCGTTCATTGTCTCTTTTCCAACTGTCTGTTGGTTATGTTCCTTTTATGCAATTAGACGTTTCTTTTTCTTGTTGCTCGTATTAAATTCCCTTTCAAATTGGAGGGGGGGGGGGCAAAAAACGCTCTCCAAAAAGTGTTAAGAGATCAAAATAGAGTTTCTCTCAAAAGAAGGTCAAGAGTTGCCGTATCTTGGCCGTTCTTGCGCCGCATGTTGTACAGATTGCGTCCTCAAATGCACTCTGAAAATATATCGGGAGATATTCTAGTATGGAGTTTAGTTTTGCCGTTGATGGCGGTTTGGTTTGACTTTTGATTTCTTTTTAAGTTAAGTTCCTTTCCTTTGCTAACGGAATGCTAACTCCACTTGCGAAAAGCAGAAGTGTAAAGGTCACAAAATTGTGGTCGACTTCTTTTTTCATAAATAGACTTTAATTTTCTGAATTTCCGGCGGAATAAAAATAATCCTTTTGATTTGAGAGTCGATGAACGTACTTGAGACTCTTATAAAGGTCCTGGTGATTTTTTTCGGGAAAAGTCAAATTTTTTTACCTCCAAATTTACTTTTTCGCAAATTAAACATTTACATATTGATCCAGCTTTCTCAAATTGGTTTAAACTTATCAAAAAAGTCAATCATAAATTGTTCTAGAAAATCAAAGAGCTTAAAGGGCATCTATTTTTTTCTTTTAAAATCGAAAGTTAAGATTTTTTTCAAAAACAAGTCAATGTTTTTTTTTCTATTTACTTGCGTTCATTGTCTCTTTTCCAACTGTCTGTTGGTTATGTTCCTTTTATGCAATTAGACGTTTCTTTTTCTTGTTGCTCGTATTAAATTCCCTTTCAAATTGGAGGGGGGCAAAAAACGCTCTCCAAAAAGTGTTAAGAGAGCAAAATAGAGTTTCTCTCAAAAGAAGGTCAAGAGTTGCCGTATCTTGTACAGTAGCGGATTTAGGGGGGTGGACGCCCCTCTATAAGGGATTGGACCCCCTGCCGACCCAAAATGTCCCCCTTGTACTGTTTTGAGATATCCATTTTTCGCTGACTGACCCTAAAATTTTTCTAAAGGCGCCTTTGGCGCCAATCTATACTAATTTTGAGGGGGTAGCGCGCGCCGAAAAAACGCGATTCTTTTGTCTGAATTTTCCAAAAAGTGCATAAAAACGCTTTTTTTAGCCCGTTTTTTTGTAAAAGTTGCCTGCGGCGCAGAAAATTTGGTCAAATTAGGGTCTCTAATAGTGATTTGGGAGAGCTCAGAAAATTATTTTGGTCGACCTAAAAATCTAGATCCGTGCCTGACACTATTCATTCGATCAATGAGTTTTTTTGCATGTCATTTAAGGGTGTGAACAAATTTGTAAAATCGCAAACTTTTTTTCTTGTTTGACTTTAAACAATTTTTTTCTGAAGTCCCGTTGATCGACCTTCAACTTGCTGCTCGCCTAAGTGATTATGAAGCTAGGCTAGTTCTGTTGTCGACCTAATAGTTCAAACAACCATACAGGTTTAGCTCAGGCGTTGGAAGAAAGAAAGAAAAAAATTTATTTCTCCAAATCATTTCACAGTAGCAATTTTCAATAAAAACAAGGATAGCCGGTTACTGTGCAAGTAGCACAGAATTTTCCGACCACAGTCTTACAAAATACAAAAATGTTTTCTCGAACTGGTGTCGTTTTTTTTCTGCATGTTGTGATTAAAAAACTTGAACGAAATAATAGAACTTAGGCATATTTGAGAGTCATAGTAAAATAAGTCGATTGGAAAACAGTTTTTGAAGAACAATGACTAGAAAAGCGAAAAAATAATAATTTTTTGCGAAATTTTTTTGATTTTTCAACTTTTTAATTCCCAAAATTGCTCTAAAACTCCAAAAACTACCTTTACTTCAGTAAAACTAAGTTTTCACGGCTTAAATTAAGCTTAAATAAGCTATTGCAATTGCTAACTACCTTACTAATGAGCTCGAAATTACCCTGTCCGATGATTGTTTGTGGTTGCTGATTTTGAGTGGAAAACAAAAAAATGAGGAAAAAAATTAAAACAGACCCGAATACAAAGTTCCTCCCCATTTTTAATGGTCTGAACAATAACAGCACAGAAAATAATTGCACGTTACTTTACGGAAGGGGGTTTGGAGAGAACAGACTACGGGAAAATGTCCACTTTTCAGTCTGCCTCATGATACTTAATTATGCATGGTCAACGTTTTTCATTTTTTTCGACTTAATTTTTTTTTAGTTGGTTGTATTTGTTTTTTTTTAATATTTAGGTTGTATCGCAAGTGGTGCGAAGCTACGCTTTGCCTCTGTGCGAGAGTTTGCGGTCAATCTTATCTCAATTGGTTTAATTGTAACGAAATCTGAGTAGAAGGTTCCTCATTTACCTTACACAATAAGTTTCCCTATTTCAATTTTAACGTTGCACCCTTTTAGTCTCACTAAGAACGATAAAGTGAATTTGAGTCTTTGAACGCCTTTGCACGTTACTTTACAGAAGGAGGTTTGGAGAGAACAGACAACGGGAAAATGTCCACTTTTCAGTCTGCCTTATGATACTTAATTATGCATTGTCAACGTTTTTCATTTTTTTTCGACTTAATTTTTTTTTAGTTGGTTGTATTTGTTTTTTTTTTAATATTTAGGTTGTATCGCAAGTGGTGCGAAGCTACGCTTCGCCTCTGTGCGAGAGTTTGCGGTCAATTTTATCTCAATTGGTTTCATTGTAACGAAATCTGAGTAGAAGGTTCCTCATTTACCTTACACAATAAGTTTCCCTATTTCAATTTTAACGTTGCACCCTTTTAGTCTCACTAAGAACGATAAAGTGAATTTGAGTCTTTGAACGCCTTTGCTCAAAATTTGTTTCAAAGTTTTTTAAATTATACATTTTACAGGTAGTGCTTCTGAAAAAGGCCCCTGGACCGAGTTCCACTTCCTCTACAAGCCCGGGAACCTCTCTGCCCCTCCCCCCTGGGTGGCACCCCACCAGCCCCGTTTGGATTGGCAGATGTGGTTCGCAGCTCTCTCTACTCCCGAGTTCACCACCTGGTTCAAAACTCTGGCGTTCCGCATTTTGACCGGACAGCCGGAAGTTTTGGCTCTGATGGATGCGAAGTCAAACATTAAGTTCAAAGAGCCGCCGCTCTATATTCGAGCAGTGAAGTACAAGTTAGTAGCATTTGTAATAATTGAAATCCAGAATAGCTCAAATGAGATCCTAACAAAGCACGACAAACATTTTCTAATCTTGCAGTCTTTTCGCAGTTATTTAAAAAAAAATAGTAATCCTATTTTGGTCGACACGCTACTGTAGCAAATGCTATTTATCATTGATCCAACTGAATTTGATTTTTCTTTTGAGCTCTAAATGCCATCGCCTTCTTTTGTAGAAACATTGTTGGATCATTTAATATAAAAAGTTGAATAACAGCCTTCAGGAAGCGGCTGGTTTTTGTAATTTAAACTTCAATTACCAACTCGGTTAATAATTTCACTCTAATGGTAATCTTCGAACACAGGTTATCATGTTTGAGATCTTAAGAGAATCTGCTAAACATTTGCATGCCATGTGGAGAAAGTTGGAAGTTTATTTTGAACTATTAAATTTCTGACTATCATGCTGTTTTGTTCTGAACTTTTTGCGACCTTTTGTAATCAATTGGACCGCCCTCTGGATACTTGTGTAGCTGTTGTGTTATATTGGAGTATATTCAGAATGCTCTGACTGTTAATCTTTGCTAAAAGTAAAAATAGCCGCTGGTTGAGCCAGTTGCACAGATTGTTCCGACCGCAATGATTTTTCAATTAAACAAATCAAAAATCAAGTGTCAATGAACAAAGTGAAGATACTTATTTAGGTGGTGGAGTTTTTTCGTGTTTTTTTCCAGGCAGAAAATTTGTTGTCTATATTCGATTTTTTTTTCTCGTGGTATGACGTTTGGTTTAGTTTCAGTTCAATTCGAATTCATTTGCTTAAAGGAAGGCAAATTACGCTTTTACGCTTTATTATAAAAAGTGCAAATGGCGCAAAAATGATGAATTTCTTTGATTTTAAAGATAGATTTTAAATTTTCAGAACGCCCAGGTCGATAAAAAACGCGTCTAGATATTCTGGAAGCCTTAAGCTGATTACGCCTGCGATAGGCAAGCGTTATCAAACTGCAATATAGATTTTTTCCGGATTAACAACTAGTTTAACAAAATCAGTTGTATCACTTCTTTTCACTTCTCTTCTCTTCCTTTCTCTTCTTACCTTCTCTTTACACTAGCAATGCTTGTGTTATAGTATGAACTATATTTTTTTCAACCTAAGTCGCAAATATTGTTGCGACACCATTATTGTTGCGATGAAATGTGTTCATTTTGAAAGTGTTCGTTTTGATCAATAACCAGCAATTAATTACACCAATGCTAAGGATATTAGTACAGACTATTATTGTTCCGGCTATCGTTACGAAAGTAGCGGAATCTTTCTGCTCGGGGTGGTTTTTTCCTCAGACAAATTTCGTCTTTTTAACTAGCTATTTTTGACGGGATTTTTTTTTGTATCACTCAAAAAGTATTGTTGTCCTGAGCTTAATTGCCAATTTGGGAAAATTAACGCGCGATGTATTTCGCCCTATTAACGCGTAAGCGGAGATTTAATCCGTCATAGAAATCGTTCCAAAATGGTAGAGGGAAGCTTATTTGCCATAATTGATTTGTTATTAGGAGCGAAATTTATCACTTTGTACTTAATATGGCGTGTGGGGTGATGATTTTCAATAAAAATCTCAAATTTAAAAAAAATTCCTTTTTATTTTATTACCTTGAGGCTTGTTAGTCGGTTAATTTCTTTTTTATCAAATTGACTGGTACTGTTAATACGTCATAAATAGCGTGCGTCACGTAAGAAGTTTTGTAGACTGAAAGTTTTACTCATTCAGTTTTTCCCAGTAGCGTTATCGGTCATATTTTTGCTTGTGTATGCAAGTGCAACTTCGCCTCTGTGTAAAATGTTCCAGATTGCTCCCCCAATGGCCTGGAGGTAGAGCAGTTGCCCTTTTACCTTGAGGTCTGGGGTTCGAGTCGTGGCCGGATCTTGTGTTTTTTTTTCAGTATCAAGAAAATTGCGAAAAAAAATCCGAGAAATATGAATTGTTGGTTTTTCGTTTGTTTGCTCAGGTTTTGTCGGCTAAATTACCACAACGGATTTTTCCGGTGTTGAAGTCAGGTTTATTTGTAATTGCAAGTGCAATTGTTTATTTTCAAGGGGGGACTCGAAAGGTTTCTGAAAAAAATTCATCAAATCTTTTTTTTCGGTTCAATTGGTGTCTGCTCTAACATGGGCGTCTTAGTTGCCACATCACTGATTTTTTTTTGCTCTAAACAGCTTTCATTGTAATTGCCTGTGCAATTGTTGTTTAAGGTGCTTTTTTTGTAAAAAATTGTATTTTTTTCGGCTCAACTTGTGTCTGCTCAAAGATTGTCGGCTTTGTTTCTTTTCATAAGTTTTGTTTTGCTGTTGCTGATTTAATATTCAAGTGTTTGGCATGTTTGCCTGGAATGAACTTCTATCGAGACATGAAAGTTTATGTGACCTAGTTTATCAAAAAAAATTTCGGCTTTTTATGTTAGTGTTGTATCGCAAGTGGTGCGAAGCTCCGCTTCACCTCTGTGTAATTTTCCAAAATTTTAAATTGACAAATTTTCGGTTCGTTTTGAGTTATTTGGCTTTTTTGGAATTCGGTTAGTTATGCTATATTTGTAATAAATTGCCATCAGATCAGAAAACACGGTAAAAATTTTGAAAAGGATAAGTTAGCTCAGAATTTAGAGAATATATCGTCTTACACTTGCGAAGCAAAGTCTTATAGTACGAACTTTTTTTCAATCTAAGTCGCAAATGTTGTTGCGACCAAGTCGCAAATTTTGTTGCGACTTTAAGCAGCAGTATTTGCTGCATTGGTTGGCAATCAGATATTTTGATATTCTGTTGAACCTTTGATATTTTGTTGCACCTTTACAGCTTATTGATAACATGTGCTTTGCCATTCGATTAGTTATAAGTTTACACATTTGATGCATTTTGAATTTATCAAGTGAACCGAAGAAAGCTATTTGATTCAAAAAACATTACAGTAATAAATTCTCGGTTTCAGAAATTTTTTAACACAATATATCGCAATTTTTTGAAATGCATATATATACATAATGTGGCGTTAATTTTTTAACACAATATATCGCAATTTTTTGAAATGCATATATATACATAATGTGGCGTTACAATTTGCGATTTATGACATGCAAAATTGTATGTTTTTGATTTGATGCTACTTTTGCTGCATCGAATTGGCGATTTTTAGCATATGTAGCTGCGTTTTTGGTGACTGGTTTTTGACGGGTTACGTAGCAGTATTTAGACAACCGCGTATTCCTACTCTTCAGTAAGCTGACAAATACTGTATTAACCAATCAGAATGAGACAAGGAAGAAATTAATAAATAATAACTATTTATTTCGAAAGCTGGCTTTCTCATCTCGATTCTGATTGGTTAATACAGTATTTGTCTGCTTACTGACGAGTTGGAACACGCTGTTGTCTAAATACAGACCGCACTCCTTTTTGGGGATTATAAGCATCTGTGGCTGAATGGTTCGTGCGTGAGACTCAAATTTGCTAGGTCGCAGATTTTTGCTAATCCGAGTTTTTTGCTTAGCCTCGAGTTTTTACAAATTCGAGGCTTATTTCTACTTTTTCTTATGTCACTTGATAGAGCTGCTTTTTGGTCGTGTTCTCGCAAGTGTTTGCGAAGCGCAGCTTCGCCTCTGTGTAAAATGTCTAATTTCTTCATTGTTTTTGTCTAATACACTTATTGGTTTTCTGTCAATCTTTATAGATCTGTTTCCTTAATTAAATCAATTGTGGTGGCCTTCGGCTTGCTGCCATTCTATATTTGTATTGTATCACAAGTGGTGTGAAGCCCTGCTTTGCCTCTATGTACAACTTCTTTAGACCGGTTCATTAAATTTTGCAAATTTTGTAGGTATTTCTTCACCAAAGGCAACACTCAGAACTGGTGGAGACGAGAAAAAGAGACCAAACTCTACTTGGACCCTGTCAGTTTGAAGTCTCCCGCCCTATTGGATCACGTGAACAGAAATAGGATCAAAACTGTGACCCCGCCCCAGTTTTCTGATAAATGGCCGTTCTTGCGCCGCATGTTGTACAGATTGCGTCCTCAAATGCACTCTGAAAATATATCGGGAGATATTCTAGTATGGAGTTTAGTTTTGCCGTTGATTGCGATGAAACTGGGAAAAGTGTTTTCTCCAAAGTACCCCGTGAAAATGTATTATATTTGATGGCGCGTTTTAAGTAAATATAAAATGTCTACTAGATTGCATTGAAATCAATATGATCTTCAAGCTAGAGGTTCTTAAGTGCGTTCACTTGTAGAGTAAGCTGGGTACCAATATTGCATATTCATATATAAAACATAAATTATTTTGATGCGCACATTGCCTCAAAATTGGCTAATATGCGCCTTAAAATTTTAAGGATTCGATTGATCTAAAATGGATGTCATGAAGTTGTACCAAAGGGAGACTCTTTGATGGGGAAAAATGGCCATAAATTGAGGGAAGGGGAGGGTTCCCCGAACAAGCTACTGTTCCTTGTTTTTCTGATCAGTTATCGGTCTTGCAATTCTGTTTTTGTTTTTTAATACCTGGAAGTTATCTTGAAGATAAATCTTTGGGACCAAAAAAGAAACCTTTGGTCCACAAAGAAACCTTTGGTTCCAATGCATATTGCTATTGCTGGCTTGATGTTTCTATTTGATTGTGTCTAATGCTTTAATATTTATAAATATGCTTGTTGTTTGATACAGCGAATCGTGAGATTAAATTTGTTAAGATTTAATACTTGGGCTAAAAGTTGTTTGCCCATAATACCATTGTTGATTTTCTCTTCGAGAATTGAAACTACGTAATGTATGTTTTACGCTCTCACAATTCATTACTTGCAAACCTGTCTGAGTTTAATTGAACATGTCCTTAAATTTAATTTCAGATTGATGGTTAGGTGACCGGCATTGATGTTGTTGAAAATAATCTGTAGCTAGAGCCAAAATTGTCCAAAAAAATCAGCGCGACGTGACTTTTATTATAATATCCAGTGAATTGATTTGTTCATAACGCAGTTATGCCTTCATTGACGTCTTTGCCTACTTGTGTGGTGGATTGTGGAACGGGTTTTACGAAGCTGGGTTTTTCTGGCAACAAAACTCCTCAGAATATCATTCCAACTGCAATTGGTATCAAAGAGTCAGCGGGCCTAGGCGAGGCCTCGCGAGGAATTTTGGGGAGAAATGTCCTAAGTGATTTGGATTTTGTCATAGGTTAGTTAGTTCTACGGCGATTAACGGTTATCAAAGTTCTCTGGTTACGATTTTTTATTGCGCCTGATCCGAGTTTTTGGGCTACTTGGTCCTGTTTTACCAACCGAATTCAAACTGGCATTGAATACTCACCAACATGTCAACCAAAATGTTATGAAGAATCAATGAACGTAGTGAAGACTCTTATTTCGGTCTTGATGTTTGCTTTGTTGTTTTTTTTTCAGCAAAAAGTTTTAATTTTTATTCACGCTCAATTTGATTTATGGCGGTTTGACGTACGATTTTTTTTTTATATTCTGTTCATTTCCTTAGTGTACAGGAAGGCAAACTCTCCTATCGAACAAAAAAAACTTTTAATTTTTATTCACGCTCAATTTTGATTTTTGGCGGTTTGACTTATGATTTTATTTTAAGTTCTGTTCATTTCCTTTGTGTACAGGAAGGCAAACTCCCCTATCGAACCACCAGAATGTCACGAAAAACGTGATTGACGTCTAGTTTCAAACGTGGAATTTAATTAAGCGAAATAAAAATTTTACCTAATTAACAAGTTTTCTCAATTTGCGTTAATGTTATCAGAAAAATGTCCATCATAAATTGTTCTAGAGATTCGAACAGCTTTAAGGCCATCTTCTTTTTTCTTCGAAATTTGAGTTTTTCTCCAGCAGTTCTGTATTTTTTCTGCTTACTTGCGTTCATTGATAGTCTTTAGTGAGCGTTAGCGTTATACTACGACTATTCTTTTTTTTCTAATCTAAGTCGCAAATATTGGTGCCACTTTTGGGGCACCTGTACGGCTGTTTGATAGCTTGTGCTCGGACATTCGAATAGTAATAAATTAACTCATATCATCAAAAAAACCGAAAACAGCTATTTGTTTCAAACAACATAAAAATAATAAAAATTCGATTTTTGTAATGCATAATTTATACATAATGTGGCTTTTTGCTTACCAGTTTATTACACGCATAATTGTGTCTATTTCTATTTAGTGCCACTATTGCTGCATCGCATTGGCAATTTGTTGGCATATGTAGTTGCTTTATTTGTGACTAGTGTTTGCCGGTTGTTAAGCGTTCGTGGCCGAGAGGGCAGGGGGTTAGAATCCAATTCTCGAGGTCGCAAATTCGAAGCCCATGCCTAGCAAAGTTTTACTAGTTCGAGGATTATTTCTATCTTTTCCTTTTCACTGTATAAGGCTGCTTTTTGTCTTGTTTTTGCTAGTGTTTACGAAGCGCAGCTTGTCCTCTGTGTAACTCTTTTCCAAGTGTATATTGCCTATGTTGAATTTTTTTACCCTGGCGATCAGACTTTTTCACCCCTGAAATAACTTTGTTCACAAGACTCAACTCAGGGACTCATTCATATCCTGGTCCTCTGTTAGAAGAAGTACTGCCAAAAGAGATACTTTGCGCTTGTTAGCAGTTTAAATATCCGTCTCATTCGAGTTTGGTTTTTCATGTTGGCTGTAGTTTTACAATTTCGATTTGCAGCTTTATTACAGCTTTATTTGTTTCGACCTATTTCATTAAAGCTTAGTGGCCTCAAATTGCGCGGCTCAATAGTGAAAAAAAAAGATTCTGTATGCGTGTGCGTCTGTTTTTAGGGGGAAAGGAGGACTACAATTTTTTAAAATTAATTTCAAATATTTATAACCTTGCGATAAGCAAAGCTTTTGCAACCGGGTACTAAACTTTCCCCGTAAATAACTTGTTCACAGAATGGTCAAATGGTAATATTTGTCATCATTATCCACTGATGACGTAATAGCATGGTGAGTGTATTGGTAACATTTGGGAATTCTTGTAAGGTAATATTTTTTCGGTGCCATATTGTGTTTTCGGTTCTTTTTCTGCACTGGAGGTCGTTCGGCCGTAATTCTGTCGGTTTATTTTCCTATTGTTTTATCTTTTGTTTTGTTGGTTTTATATGATAATGATTGAACACGTAGAAATTTTTAAAAACTTCAGCCAACCATATAAACCTTCTTTTGTTCACGCTTAATTTTATTTTTTTGCGGTTTGACTTTTGATTTTTTCCAACTTCATTTCATTTTGCTAGGAAAAGGCAAACTCCACAATCGAACTGCAAAAATGTAAAGGTCACAAAAAATTAATTTGAAGATGGAAATTAATTATAAGATTTCCCAGCGAAATAAAACTTTTATCTATTGAAACAGTTTTCTCAAGTTTGGTTAATTTTATCATCAAAGCACCAATCATAAATTGTTCGTGAAATTCGAAGAGCTTTTAAGGCATATATTTTTTCTTTAAGATTCTCTACATTTTTCTCTTTCCGTTATGTTAGCTGGTTATGTTCAAAGATTCTGAAATGCGAACAGCTTTTACGCGATTGGTTTTTTCTTCCGAAGTTCGAAAGTTGAAAAATATTCAAAAGTCATTTTTTCGGTGCTTATTGACACGGTTCTAACTGTCTGTTGGCTCTGACTTCAGTTGACCCAGTTCTAGAGTGGTTAAAGAAAAATCAAAGCTAAACAGACTATTTGAAATGTTTTATGCAAATTGTCATATGCATCTAAAGTAAAATTACCAAGAATTAAAGATGACGAGATTAGAGATGATTTTTCTAATTGACCCGGAGAGATTATTGATCACAGGAGACATACATTACTGTTTTGTGGTGGCTAGTTTACTAGGTTGTTAGATGTAGAACATAAACCAGTCGAAATTAGAGATGATATTTTGTAGGAGATGACGCTCTCTCTAACCCCTCCTATGCGGCCAAGTATCCAATCAAACATGGAATCGTGGAGGACTGGGACCTCATGGAGAGGTTTCTGGAGAGAGTCATCTTTAAACATCTGCAGGTAAAACGATGTCGGTTTTGTAGTCCTGAATAAGTTGTTTTTGAAAATTTATGGATTACATCTTTTCTGAAACGAAAAATAGTTTGCTTTTTTTGTGAACGCTTCGAGCAATACAACCAAAGTGGTGCATCAGAATCACCACACATCAAATTCTCTATCGCGTATGATGTTAAATTCGAACGAGTGAGACTAGTATGCGTGACCGAATGGCTAAGGCACACGTCTCTCAACATGCGGGTCGTGTGTTCGAATCACACTAAGGTTGGAGGGGATCAGTGTCAGGCGCCTCGCACACGGTTGGTCCTGCGTTGAGTAGGTCAGGGGGTAAATAAAAAACGAATGAGCCTGGCAATCTGCAAAGAGGAGAACCTTTCGACAAGGGCATTTTAAAAACTGCTGAATGATATAGCATACAGGTATCATTAGTGGGACTCTGTTTAGGTGGATCCTGCCGATCACCCGTTCCTGCTGACGGAGCCTCCTCTGAACACTCCCGAGAACAGAGAGTTCACGGCCGAGATTATGTTCGAGTCGTTCAACGTGCCCTCGCTCTACATTGCAGTGCAAGCAGTGCTCGCCCTGGCTGCCTCCTGGCTACACAGAGCGGACAACGAACGGGCGCTCACAGGTTTGAAATTCACTGTCTTCACTAAGGGGCGTTAAGCTGGCTCATTTCTTTTTCAAGCAAATAGCAACCAACCTTATTTGGGCATTATGAAAAAAGACTAGCTCTAAAAATAAAATTTTTCAAGATGTAAACGCGTTGATTATGACTTGTAATGTTCACTTAAAGAATAAATCAGGTCCCATAAGTCCGGTCAATACATCCAGATTTCGAAGATTATGTTTCCTGTTTGATAAAAGCAGGTATTAGAAAAAAATATTGGATTGGGTTTTTTAGACGCTTTGGAAATATTTCTCGATAGCATCGGGACCCCCTCCGGTACTTGTAGAAAATCAGTATGCATCCCCCAACAATATGCCTATTCGCCTCTAATAATCTACAAATAATCTGTGCAAAGCGTCGAAACTTGCGTTCTTAGACAAAATAGTGTAACATCTTTCAAACACTCGTAAACGCGAAGACTCTTAATAGTCATGTTTTGAACTGGTGTTAATCTTGAAAAAAATACACGAGCTGTAAAAAGGACGCTGAAATAAGTTTAATTTCAAAATTCGTCTGTAGCAATTTTTTTTGATATGATATCCAGCCTGGTACTTAACGACGCTTAACCTCAGCGAAACCTCATCTCTAGCGAATTATCAATTGAACCCCAATTTGATATAAAAGTCGAATGAAATTGTTGTTTTTCTGTGTGGTATTTTATCTTCCTATTTCATACAAGAACTCTGATCGACAGCGAGAAATGTAGTTTTCAATTGTAGTCAGAATGGCAATCGGATTGCCAAAAAATTGCCCTTCAGCTAATTTTTACTCTTAGCTGAACCTATTTTTTCTCTGTTGTCTTTACAGGAACTGTGATTGACAGTGGGGACGGAGTGACACACGTGATCCCGGTAGCAGACGGCTACGTTATCGGATCCCTTATCAAACACATACCCATTGCGGGCAAGGACATCACTCAGTTCATTCAGAACCTGATCACAGAGAGGGGAGGGGAGGGAATCCCACCCGAGATGAAGAGAGAGGTGGCCACCACAGTTAAAGAAAAGTACTGCTACGTCTGCTCAGACATTGTCAAGGAATTCAACAAGTATGTACTGTTTTGAAACGAGTTAATTAAATTACTTAAGCATAGGTAATCAAAATGCAGCGTATCGCAATAAAATTTTTTTCTTTCATTGAAAGAAATAATTCAAGTTTTAATAGAAAACGAAAATCAGTCAAAATTAGTAATCGTTATTCAGTTAAGAAATTAAAACGTCTATAGACAGGTAAAATTTCATAAAGATTTTTAAGAGTCGATAAACGTATTTCAGACTCTAATATAGGTCGTGATGATATTTTTTTTTCCAGGAATAGTCTCAAATTTGTTCAGGCTCAAATTTACTTTTTCGCGGTTTGGCTTTGATTTATTTTTAAGTTCAGCTCATTTACTTTGTTAAAAGTAAGGCAAACTCCGCTATCGAACAGTGAAAGTGAGAAGGTCACGAAAAACGTGATCGACTTTCAACTTCGAAATTGGAATTTTCTTATCATATTACCCAGCGAAATGATAAATTTGAATATTAATCCAGTTTTATCAAATTCGTTAGGTTTTATTCAAAAAGTGTATAGTATATCATTAATTGTTTTAGAAATTCAAAAGAGCTTTAAGGCCATCTTTTTTTTTCAACCGTACCATCCCACCGGACATTATTCTTGTGAAGCATTTGTGTTTTCTCGTAAAGCGATTGAGGGGGGTGAGCAGGGTGTAGAGTTGATCCGTTTTTACCTGTTCATGATATTGAGGAAACTCATAATAACGTTCAAAAATGTATCCCAGTGCTTTTCTGTTGTCCCAGGTTTGACACCGACCCGGCTAAGAGTTTCAAAGTGCACGACGGACTGAACCCGGTGAACAACATGCCGTTCAAGGTGGACGTGGGCTACGAGAGATTCCTCGGACCAGAGATCTTCTTCCACCCGGAGTTCGCCAATGCAGACTACACCACTAGCATCAGTGATGTTGTGGACAAAGTCATCCAGAGTGCACCTATAGACAGCAGGTAATCTTACTAGTTAACTGATTTTTATAGCGATCAGTTTGCTTCAGTTTTGATAGGTTCAGTTGAAAAATGTGGTTTGATTTTCTTCTGGAAGCCTGAGAGTATCTGATTGTGTAATCAGTGGCATGTAATTGACGTGGAAAGTGTTGTTTTGGAATTGAAATATTGTTTCTCATCTTGAAGAGAATGAACACTTTCATGCTCTTTGATAAAAAAAGGTAGTGGGTGGGTAAATGATCTTTACCTCAAACGATGTGGCGATGATAAATTTACATACGTAAGCAAGTTAAAATATTTTCCTACAAATGTTTAACATATATAAATAAATACATAACTTTACGGAACCCTATCCTTATGAGCTGAGCGAAGTCCTGTCATAAATAATCTATCTGTTTAGACGTGGTTTGTACAAGAATATTGTGTTGTCGGGAGGGAGTACCATGTTCAACTACTTCGGTCGTCGTATAGAGCGAGACATCAAGAAAATGAACGACAAGCGATACGAAGAGACTCTGAAACTATCCACTGGAGACTTCAAACCCACGCCAGTAGAGGTACATTTTAATCGAATTCTATTGTTTCAAATACTTTAAAGAGTCAATGAACTTTTTCAGACTCTTATATAGGTCGTGATAATTTTTTTGTTTTTCTTTTTGGATAAGTCTTGAAATGCTCTAATATTTTTCAGAAATGCAGTCATACATATTAATGCATTATATATGCACTATTTGATTTCAATTCAATTTCATCGAAAAGTTAGGTAGGTTATGCTCTCCAATTACCAAGTGTAAAGGTTGGCAGAACCATGATCGACTTCTAGTTTTGAAAGAAAAATTTATTTTCAGATTTCCCAGTGGAATAAAAAATAGTGGAATAATGTGTAATAAAAACTTTATCTATTGATCCTGTTTTTTTTTTCAGACGGCTCATTTTGTCAAAATTTCTTGATTTTCAAAGAGCTGCGAAGCACATGTTTTTCTTTTCTGTTTCCGTGAGTTCATTGATTATTTTTTATCTGTCTGTTGGCAATGTTTGAAAAGTGGGAAAAATTTATGGCCCATTTAAATCCTAATGGTTTTTTTGGTTTAAATCCTATCACATGGTTTTTGTTGTTTTCAGCAAGTAGTCAGTTTCAAATGTTGTGGTTTGATTTTAAATTCCCTTAAAATTTATTTGATCAACGGAAGAGAGTTTTTCAAAGAGGTTAACACAGAGGACCTTTTCAAAACGGTAATTTCTTGATTTTCTGTTAAAATCGGTCAAAGTTTCTTGATTTTCAAAGAGCTGTGAAGCCACATGTTTTTCTTTTGTTTCCTTGAGTTCATTGACTATTTTTTATCTGTCTGTTGGCTATGCTTGAAGAGTGGGAAAGTTTTGATGGCTCATTTAAATCCTAATTTGTTATATTACATGGTTTTTTGTTGTTTTTCAGCAAATATTCAGGCTCAAATATGTGATTTGATTTTAAGTTCACTTAACGGAATAGAGGTTACCTTTTCAAAACGGAAAATTACGATGAACGTTTGCGAGGCATTTTAAAGAACTGATGAACGTAGTGAATACTCTAATAAAAGTCGTGATGATTTTCTTCAGGCGGAATAGAGGAAGGTTCAAACTTGATTTTTAGCTGATTGACGTTTGTATTTTTACCCTTGCGGAGAGAGTGTATTCTTACGAACCTTCTTTTCTTCCAACCTACGTCGCAAATATTGGTGCAACTTTTGGAGCACCTTAACAGCTTTTTCATAGCATGTGCTTTGATATTCCAATAGTAATAAGTTAACACAATTGATGCATTTTTTGTTCAAATGAACTGAGAAAAGTGATTTGTTTCAAACAACATAACAATAATGAAAACTCGATTTTTAAATATAACTCGAAGTTTTTTTGAAATGCATAACTTGAAAATAATGTTGCCCTATGCTTTGAAATTTGTTACATGCAAAGTTAGTGTGGATGCCATCAGTTTGTTATATTCCAAGTTATTACTTGCAAAATTGAGTCTATTTGTATTTGGTTGAATGGCATTGGCAATTTTTTTTCATTAGCATATGTAGCCGCTTTATTCGTGACTAGTATTTGTCGGTTGTTAATATTGCATGGCTGAGTGGATATTGCGTGAGACCAAAAAATCTGTTGATTGCAGCAGGTCGCAGAGTCGAATCCTCCAAGTTTTGGTTGTGTAACTGGCTTTATTTTTCATGTTCTTCACGGTGAGGTTTTTGTGTTCCTTAGTTTCCGCTTTGTTTTTTGCATAGTTTTTAGTATAATTTTCGTGTATCAATTTCTTCGTCTTTAGCTGATTGTTTTTTTTTTGTTTTCATTGCTTTCTGCCTGAAATTGTTTGGAAAGGTTGCCGTTTTATATGATGCGTCGGATGGAGATAAAACTAGTATTATTCATTCAGTGCTATTCATTCCAAGAAGATAAGTACAATACTTTTTAATTTGATCAAATTTTCTGGAAACTTTTTCGCCTCGAACTGTCATCTTGAGTTGGTTTGCACTTTTTTCCATGATTTTGCATGGCTTATTTTTTTTTCAAACAGCATAGCAGGATCGTTTTTTGATCCTGTTTTTATTTGAGTTTTTTTTGGTCATAATATAGGTTTTCGCTTTTATTTTTTGTGCTGATGGTTTTTCGGATCTATGCTCGTCGATTAAGCTTCCGGTTTAGTTTTGTAGTTGAGTATTGTATTCGTGGATACTATGTGGGGAGCACATGTTTTTGTTTTGTAGTTGAGTATTGCATTCGTGGATACTATGTGGGGAGCACATGTTTTTGTTTTCCAGATTCACTTGCTGAAACATTTTGGTTAATTTTCAGCTTACTGGCTGTCGAGTTAATTCTGTTGACTTGTTTAACTCATATTTTGTTTCCGAAAAATTTCTGATATTATTTTTCAGATCGATAAAACTGACCAACTTTTTGATTTTTTGAATGTGCAAAATCAACTCCACTTGGACTTCTTTGAAAACTTATTCTTGATCTTTGTTCAATGGTTACCTTATTTGAAGTCCTCTTTGTTAGTTCTTGAGCGTCATGCTGGATTAATCCTATACTTCTTGCATCGCAAGTGATGCGAAGATCAGCTTCGCCTCTGAGCTTACTTTTCGTCATAACAGTTTGAGGCTGCTTTCTGTATTCGTGTGGCTCATTTTTTCTCTGCACAGCATGTGGTGATGTCTTAAACTCTAGTAAACTTGGGTTTACACTTCAAACTTAAGCTCAACTCTCAATCTAGGAATTATTATTAACTTGTTGCAAAAAAGGTTTTATCAATATGTCAAAAGCAACTAGTCGAAAGGAGCCGTGTGCCAAAGCGTTCTTCTGATGAGATTATCTTTTTTATTTGAATGTTCGTATTTGGACATTGGCAGATTAAAGGTCTTTAAATAGATATCGAAAACAGTAGAGCAAAAAAAATTTTAGGTTCAAGTTATTTCCCACTCCATGCAGAGATACGCCGTCTGGTTTGGGGGATCTATGGTCGCATCTATGCCAGACTTTCCCTCGGTATGCAAAACAAAAGCCGAGTACTTCGAGCACGGACCGAGCATCTGTCGACACATCAACCCCATGTTCGGACAAATGTCGTGAATGGAAAAATCGAGATATTTGAATTGAAACAAATCAGAACTGGAAAGGAACTAACCCGTATATTATGCAGTCATGCTCGTGATTCAATGACTGTGTGTATATCGATCCAATATTTAATATACACTTAAATTGTACAAATTTCTAAGTCATACTGGACTTTGTGAGGTGCTTTATTTTCGCTTGAATTTGATATTATGAAACTGCGCTTCATATTAGAGTTGTTTATTTTCTATGTCTATGCCATGATTTCTAATTTTTCAAAATCAATTCTGAACTACACATTTTTTCAAGAGTACATTTTGATATTCAACTATCGAAGGATTTTTAAAGTATGTATTTAAAACATGGAAGTTACCAGACGCTTCGCGCTATTCTGTTTTTCATTAAAAGCCGTAAAAACTCCGATTTTTACCAAAAACAGATGAATTTACTTGTGATATGCAGTCTGATTTGATATCCTTCAAAAGTCTGCACAACCTTCACTTAGACATTGACTCGAAGAAAGCTTTCATCTCGTGTTTTTTTTCTAATCAAAACAACTTTTCAAGGGTAGGCCTGATATCAGCCCTGTATCTAGGATTTTGCGAGTTTTCCCAAAACACTATAAAAAGCATATGGTGCCAGAGTTATCTGCGATGTTCGCTGTATTTCGAAAAAAAGGTTGCAAATGCCGTCATACGGTTTGAGCGCATTCCCGCCTGATTTTTTTGCGACAAAAATGCTCGAACACAAATTTAACGGTTCGTCGACATAAAATTGATGATGCATGAAAATGTAGAAAGGGGGAAGTTTCTAGGTTGGTTGATTCTTTTTTGTTAATTAAAAATAGTCGAGATAATGAAATGGAAAGTTATCATGAGATTATCACAGCTTTGACAGAACTTTTTTTGTTAATTAAAAATAGTCGAGATAATGAAATGGAAAGTTATCATGAGATTATCACAGCTTTGGCAGCATTTTGTTCCTTAGAAAGCATTGCTGCACTTCTACCCATACCTTAGTTTTTGTTATATCACGCTATGATTTCGAACTAGTATTTCTTCAAAAAAGTTCATCCGTGCCCTAGCGGAAAAAGAGATGCATTGTTTCCTTAAACAGAGTTTTAGCAAAAAAACGCGCTTTGATTTCACTTAGAAACAATATTTCTTCATGCCAATCAAAAATCGACCAACCGTAGTATAATTTTTTAATCTAACTGTTAGCCACCAAATACTTTTTCAAGTTGCTTATTATTTTTGGACATAGTTATATTGTTTCACGTCACTATTAATTTTAAGAACAATTTCGGGGGAGCGGTGGTGAAGTGGTTACGTCTCCGCCTTTCAATCGAAAGGTCGGATGTTCGAGGCCCATCATGTTCCGTGCTCGTTGCTTCAGGGTGAAGCAACATTACCCAGCCCAGAAAAAAATCAAAAAAATAGCATGTAGTTTTTAAATAGGGGCGCTTCGCCGTGATGAGCTGTACAGCTCTTCTGTTGGTCCTTTCCCCCGTGGATAAATGATCTTAATCCCTTAAAATATGAGAATTGAATTTTTTATCTTCAGTCATTAGTGGATGAATATTCCCACTGCTTTAAAGTTGTAACTGTCTTTCAAAAAACATGAAAAATCCGTTTGACAAAACAGTACAGCGTGTCGTTTTCTACGAAAGATGGTTATCTAGCAGCAAGCCATTATGCCAATTTTTCATCTCAAATGCAATAATTCGCTTGAAACGATGAGCAATACCTCTCGATTTACCACTGAAAGCTCAACTCGGAAGTTTGAAAATGGTTACTTGACAGTTATTAAGGCTGCTTTTTCTCCAGAAACTTTTGATATAGCTTTCGACCTACCTTTAATTTTGTTAAATTTAGCAATGGTTTTGAGCTTCTTTTCGGTTAAAAATTAGGGGTCAGAAATATCACGTTATTTGGTCTAGATAGTAGCATTGTTTTCATTTGATCTTTAAATAGAATGAGTTTGTTTATCTAGCCAACATAAAATCCTGTCCACATTTTTCTGATGTTTTCCGGTTAATTAACTGTTTTTAGCTGCTGGAGTTTTTTAGTGTGTCGTCTTCATGCAAAATCAGACTATTTTTTATTTTCCTTTCAAACTAAAATATCTTTTTTTTGACGAAGAGAAGAATTGACCACACTCTTTTTAAAAAAATCATTTGGCAGATATCGACATTTGAACGCATTGAATCCTTGAAATTCTATCGTCATCAAGGCGTTGCTACCAAAAAGATAATTGGAACAGACCCAAAATTTGGTAGTTAAAATGTCTTTTAAAAAAAAACGCGTGGTCAACTGAATGAAAGGCTTAACCAAAAGGATAATTTTGAAATTGACTTGATTGTATTCATCAATTTTTTGAACAATTTTGGCATTGATGAACATCTTAATCAACACTAATTTTGTCGATAAACTTAAAATTTTGAATCATCAGGAACGCTCAAATGATGATTCGTCTTATCGTTATCAGTAACAACCAAATTTGAGTAATTTTATCACTGAAAATATATTTTCAGCCGTTATTTCATCTTTTTCGTAGAATGGAAGTCTGAGCATCACTGCAGAATCATTTTTCCTAATTCCTAATTTAACAAGACTGCTCGTATCAGGGCGAAGCCCTGAATGTTCCGACTGCCTATTAAGGTTTATGGAGCAGTAATAACATAGAAAAATTCAATGAAATAAAACAAAATGAAAAAAAATTCTTAAATTTGAAATTTTTTATGAAAATCATCTACCCACACGCCATATAAAGTACTAAAGGATAAATTTCTCACCTTGTAACAAACCAATTATGGCAAATAAGCCTCTTTTAACCAATTTGGAAGGATTTCTAAGACGGATTAACTGTCCGTTTACGCGTTAATAGCGCGAAATAAATCGCGCGTTAATTGTCCCAAATTGGCCAAAATGGCAATCTTTAAACCCCGTTACTTTACGAAAAATGATCACATGTGAAATATTGTTTCAAATTTGAGCTCAGGACAACAATACCTTTCGAATGATATTTTAAAAAATTCCGTCAAAAATGGCTAGTTAAAAAGTCGAAATTTGTCTGAAGAAAAAAAACCCACCCGAGCACAAATATTCCGTTACTTTCGTATCGAAAGTCGGAACAATATTTTAAATCTCCTAATATAATAAATTAGGGAGGATAGAGATAAATAAGAATGAATGATATTTATCCTCTATTCTTTTTTGTAACCATCATTTTATGTATTTTATGATAATTTATTCGCTATTCAGCGTCAACTCGCTGTAAAAGTAAGAACATGTATACAACAAATTGAAACCTCGATGCATGAAATTTTTTCGCGTAGAATTTTGCAGCCTGTTTTTATGAGCATCTTGATTCTTACTATCAAATTTTATTCAATAAAGAAAATCAACAGGCTGTCTGGTGAAAGCATATAAAAGAAAAAAACAAATAAGCATCACGTCTACATTGTTTGGTTAATAGCAAACTTTTCGTTCTGTAGCTTTTACTCAAAAAGGAGCTTAAAAAGTTGCAAATCCTAAAATATATATGTTCTTATGACTGAAGATAAGTCGTTATTTTTCAGTGCATCCTAATAAATGGTAGCGAATCTGGGTATTATTGCGAAACAAAGTTGAATACTTTTTGAATTCTGATAGTTATGTAGTTTTTTTTTACTTTTTACTGAAACTTTCTTGGTCAAAATGTTTCCCTTTTTTCTTATACAACCTGATGAGTTATGAGCGATTAGCATTTTTCTTTAGAAAGTTTTCACGGCTTGCTCACCAAATCATAGATTTGTATTTTCTAGATTATGCAGATTTTCATTTTTTTCTCTCGTTTTCTTTATGCTGACAATTTTTTTTAAATAGAACAGTTTTTAAAGCCACCAAAATCTTTTTTATCAATTGCTGTAAGTTTTCTTTTTGCTTCTTCATCATGAAGCGTAAGCCAACACACGAAACCATGTACAGTAAAATTGGGTTCAAATAAGCGTTATCTGTGTTTTATCGTTTTGTAACTGAATTTTTCTCAACCTATAATACATACGACAAAATTTTTTACTCAAATAAAACTATTTCGTAACAGAGAAACTGTTTCTAATCATTGGGTCTTTTGTTCAATTGTATCCTTGCGATAAACATGGGTATTGAAATTGTGTACTTGATGTTTTTTACGTAAATATCTTTGTTCACCGGACTCTTTTCATCTGGACTCATTTCCTGGAACCCTCTATTAGCAAACATTTTTAATTTCTTTGTATCTAAACTACACGGAACAACTAGGTATCGAATCATCAAGAAACTCTCTAATGTTAGCAGTACATGATATGCCGTTTTATGATTATCGGTAACATCCGAAGTTGAATGTTTTTAGAGTGAAATTACATTTTCAGCCTTTGTTTCATCTTTTGCGTATGAAAAAGGGCTTAAAAAACTATAAAAAAGTATCACTACAGAATCATTTCGTTTCGTTTTGTTTTGCTTAACCTCTAATCCAAGTCCCAAAATAATAATTTAAGTCTCAGTAAACTCTTCTAACGCGCCAATAAGCTTATAAGACCTGTCCACGTTGTTCATCTGATTTTTGTTGACCGTTGTTCCAGAAATTGGATAACCTTTTTAGCCACCAAATACTTCCTTTAGCAGCAGCATCAGTTCACTATCATAGTCTGCCACCAGTAAAGTTTTCAGTTACCTGAAAATTTTCATTCACAAAATGCAAATTGCCCACTAAATATGAATGACTTTTAATTTGGAAAATCGTTTCTATTTTTGAGATTTCCCACAAAAACGAACAAACTACCTATTGATAAAAATTCTTAATCCGGGGAATTTTTCTGATGATTGAGTTCTATCCTGTATTCTTTTGTAACAATCGTATTATATATCAATCAGGATCAGGGGCGGATAAAGGGGGGGGGGGGCAGACGTTCTTTCCTCAAAATTCGAACCCCTGCTGACCCAAAGGGTCCCCCTTTGTAATATTTTGAGATATCATTTTGCGGTGACGGACCCTTAAATTTTTAAAAGGCGCCTATGGTGCCAATATTTACTAATTTTGAGGGGAGAGAGCGCGCCAAAAAAAGCGATTTTTTGGTCAAAACTGTCCAAAAATTGCTTTAAAACGCCTTTTTTGGCCTGCGGCGAAGAAATTTTGGCCAAAATTTTGGCCTAAAAAATCTTCAAAACATTGCACTTACAAAACCTCTTTTTGAATCTGTATACTTAATTTTTAAATTTAGATTTCAAACAAATGTCTTTTCTGCACCGTATATCAAAATTTCTT